TCATTGACTATTTGTGTGTCTTCTTTTGAGAAATATCTGTTCAGGTCATTTGCCCATTTTAAAAAAGATTTATTTATATATTTGAAATTCAGAATTACAGACAGGGAAAGAGAGATCTTCCATCCGATGATTCACTCCCCAAATGGCCACAACGGCCGGAGCTGCATCGATCCAAAGCCAGGATCCAGGATCTTCCTCTGGTTGTTCCCACGTGAGTGCAGGAGCCCAAGGACTTGGGCCATCTTCTACTGCTTTCCCAGGCCATAGCAGAGAGCTGGATTGGAAGTGGAACAGCCAGGATTTGAACTGGCGCCCATATGGGATGCCAACACTGCAGGCGGCAGCTTTACCCGCTACGCCACAGCATCGTCCCTAAAACAGACATTCTTTGAAAGAGGAAATCCAGGCCAGTGCCACAGCTCACTAGGCTAATCCTCCACCTGCGGCGCCAGCACCCCGGGTTCTAGTCCTGGTCGGGCGCCGGATTCTGTCCTGGTTGCTCCTCTTCCAGTCCAGCTCTCTGCTGTGGCCCGGGAAGGCAGTGGAGGATGGCCCAAGTGCTTGGGCTCTGTACCCACATGGGAGACCAGGAGGAAGCACCTGGCTCCTGGCTTCGGATCAGTGTAGCACTGGCCATAGCGGTCATTTGGGGAGTGAACCAACGGAAGGAAGACCTTTCTCTCTGTCTCTCTCTCTCATTGTCTAACTCTGCCTGTCCAAAAAAAGAGAAAATCCAAGTGGCCTACAGACACATGAAAAAAAACGCTCAAGATCACTAGTCATCAGGGAAATGCAAATCAAAACCACAATGAGGTTTCACCTCACCCCGTCAGAATGGCTTTCATACAGAAATCAACAAACAACAAATGCTGGCGAGGATATGGGGGAGAAGGTATCCTAATCCACTGTTGGTAGGAATGTAAACTGGTCCAGCTGCTGTGGAAGACAGTATGGAGTTTCCTCAGAAATCTGAATATAGCCCTACCATACGACCCAGCCATTCCACTCCTGGGAATTTACCCCAGGGAAATGAAATCATCATATGAGAGAGTTGTCTGTACCCCCATGTTTATTGCAGCTCAATTCAGGATAGCCAAGATATGGAGTCAATCCAAAGGCCCATCAACTGAAGACTGGATAAAGAAATTATGGGATATGTACACCATGGAATACTGCAAAGTGGTTAAAAAAAATCCAGTTGTTTGCAACAAAATGGGTGAAACTGGACAACATCATACTTAGTGAAATAAGCCAGTCTCAAAGGACAAATACCATATATTCTTCCTGGTCTGTGATAACTAACAGAGCGCCTAAAAAGTAAGCTATAGAAGTGAAATTAACACTTCAAGATACAGTGACTTTGAACAGCCCTTGTCTTGACTGTTGAGGAACAATTTTTTTTCATATAATTTGTTGAATTCTTTACTTAGTATGGAGTTAGCTGTATGTATATAAAATTAATTGAAAATAGATCTTAATAAAAAGTAAGAATGGGAATAGGAGAGGGAGGAGCAAGAGGGGTGGGAGAGTGGGTGTGGTGGGAAGAATCACTATATTCCTAAAGTTGTATTTATGAAAAAATAAATAGTTATACATTAAAATTTTTTTTCTTCTAGGAGCTTTGCAGTTTTGGGTCTTATGTTTAAGTTTTTAATCCATTTTGAGTTGATTTTTGTGTACAAGTCCAGTTTCATTCTTCCAGTGTAGATATCCAGTTTCCCTGTGCTGTTTGTGCTTTCCCTGCAGTGTATTTGTGGTGCCTGTCAGAGTTTGGATATTATTTTTTCCCAGAAGCCCTTTTTTTAAGGAATACAATCTTCATACATTTCATAATTACAACTTAGGAACATGATGGACTCTCTTCCTAAGGCCATTTGTTAGGCATTTGGTCCCCCCAAAGTCTTAGTTAATGGTTCATAGATTAATGCGAATGGTAGTGGATTAAGGGTATAGATGTAATCCAATCGTGGTACCTGAAAGTGCGGCCCTTAGGAAGTGATCGGATTGGATTAAATTGATGAGGTGGAGTCGCTATGATTGAATTATGGTTGCTTTGTAAAGAGAGGCATAGACTTGGAGAATGAACACATTCTCTGTTTCTTGTCATGCTGTGTGAGCATGTTTTCCACCACACACTGCCCTCATCAGGTGCTTGACCAGTGGGGACACCTAGTCTTGGACTGTGAACTTCCAAAACTGTGAGCAAAAATGTTTTCCCCCATAAGTAGCTTCTGTCAGGTATTTCAGTTGAAATAAGAAGCCGACATAGCACTCTTGTCAAAAAAAGTTGACTGTAATTATATGATTTTATTTTGAAACTGACTGTTCTATTCTTTTGGCCAAAGTGTTTATTGTTATGTCAGTGCCATGCTGTTTTGATTTGCAATAAATTTTGAAATCAGGTAATGTGATGTTTTCAGTTTTCTTCTTTTTGTTCAAGATTGCTTCAGCTATTCAATCTTGTTATTCCATATGAATTTTAAGATTACTTTTTCTATTTCTACTTCTGTGAAAAATTTTGTTAACATTCTAATAGAGTTTTGCATTAAATCTGAATATTGATTTGGGTAGTATGGACGTATTTTTTAATTTTTTAATATGTCCACATGGAATATTGACACTGTAGGCCAGGGCTTTAACCTGCTGCACCACAGCACTGCCCCAGTACGGACATATTCACAATATTAATTTTCTGATCCATGAGCATGGGATATCTTTTCAGCGACAGGACAGTTAAACTTCCTCCTTTCTCATTTGGATGATTTTTACTTCTTTCTGTGTCCTAATTTCTGTAGCTAAGACTTCTAGTGCTAAGCCAAATAGAAGTCCTGAGAGTGAGCATCCTTGTTTTGTTCTTTTGTTCTTCATCTTAAAAGAGAATTTTTTTTTTTTACCACTAAGCATCATGTTTGCCATGGGCTTGTCATATATGGTCTTTATCATGTTGAGGAATATGCCTCTTGTACAAAATTTGTTGAGTTTTTGTCATGAAAGGATGCTGAAATTTGTCAAAATTATATACTTTTGTTATTATCTGTTTTTTCAATCGTACTTTATGCTACATGAGGTTCTTTTCCCTTTTTTTCAGTGTGGTCCCTCTGTCATCCTGTGCCAATGTGGACTGGTTACTCTCTACTTTCACTGGCCTCTTATCATTCCAGGGCTAACCTTTCACTATTTGCCATGGTTTCTCCAATCCCTGTCTTTTGTTTTGCTGGAGTACATCCTTAGGCAACTTCCTAAGAATAATGAATGGGATATAAATTTCTGATCCTAGTTTTATCAATTAGAAATGTGTTCTTGGAGCCAGCACTGTAGCTTAGCAGGTAAAGCTGCCTCCTGCAGTGCTGGCATCCCATATGGGCACCGGTTCAAGTCCTGGCTGTTCCACTTCCAATCCGTCTCTCTGTTGTGGCCTGGGAAAGCAGTAGAAGATGGCCCAAGTCCTTGGGTCCCTGCACCCATGTGGGAAGACCCAAAGGAAGCTCCTGACTCCTGGCTTTGGATTGGTCCACCTCCGGCCTCTGTGGCCATTTGGAGGGTAAACCACCAGATGGAAGACTTTTCTCTCATTTTTTTCTGTCTCTGCCTCTGTAGCTCTACCTTTCAGACAAATAAATAAATCTTTTTTTTTTTTTTTTTTTGACAGAGTGGACAGTGAGAGAGAGAGACAGAGAGAAAGGTCTTCCTTTGCCGTTGGTTCACCCTCCAATGGCCGCAGCGGCTGGCGCGCTGCAGCTGGTGCACCGCGCTGATCCGATGGCAGGAGCCAGGTACTTCTCCTGGTCTCCCATGGGGTGCAGGGCCCAAGCACTTGGGCCATCCTCCACTGCACTCCCGGGCCACAGCAGAGAGCTGGCCTGGAAGAGGGGCAACCGGGAGAGAATCCGGCGCCCCGACCGGGACTAGAACCCGGTGTGCCGGCGCCGCAAGGCGGAGGATTAGCCTAGTGAGCCGTGGCGCCGGCCTAATAATTTTTTTTTTTAAGTTCTTATTTTGAGTGAGCGAGAGACAGAGACAGAGAATTCTGTTCTGCTGTGTTTATGCTGACTCATTCCCTACACGCTCATGACAGCCAGGGCTGTTGTCTGCATGTGTGACTTTCAGATACCTTCACCTTTTTCTTTATTTCATTTTATTTTCTTGGTGGTCTTCATTCCTCTCCTCCATGTTCCTTATATTTGTGGTCAAAACTGTTATTCCTTAGGAACCTTGAAATATAATGTTTCTTTTTGAAACTATTTTATCTTTTTCTTTCATTTCCTAAGCTTAGTCAACTCTCATTTCACATCTTCCTAGTTTGTTCTGTTTCTATTCTGAGTTCTTTTGAACTTATTATCGAGTGATTTTTTAAATATGCAAATTCTTGTTCTAACCTATTTAACTCGCGTTGGGATGCTGAGTCACAGTTTTCTCTGCTTCCTGGTTTGTAGATGTGTGTGTGTGTGTGTGTGTGTTTGGTGGGGAGAATTTTCTCTTTTATCATTATCAGAGAGCATTAGCCAGCCTCTGAGCCTTCGTGACGAGCAGAGCCCAGAGGAGGTCAGAAAGGTTCAGTCTCACTTGCTAGATATTCAACAGCCTCTCACAGGATGACGAACACCGAGGACAGACTGTGGTATCACTTGGTCCTACTGTTGCCCGTGCATACACAGCTCTTTCCTTGTCCTTATGCACTTACTTACTTAGTTTACCTGTCAAAGAGATCTCTTCTGTTCTCTGACGGCCACACTTCCTCAAGACTCAGCTGAGGCTCTTTATAACAGATTGCCCTCTTTTACATCTCACTGTATGCAGTGGGCGTGACTGTGCTCCACAACCACACTGTGACTGAGTTACCATGTAGCTCATTCCGTGAAGGTTTCTGGGCCTTCCTAGACGTGTGTTATATTGAAGACGATAGGTTTGGAGACTCCGCGTTTCCAAGTTTGACGGGAAATGACCTTTGGTGCTCTGCAGGTGGAGGCAGTTGACCTGAAATTCCAACTGCCCGTCCTTTAGATTTTCCAAGCAGGCTTCTGTACTTGGTAGCAGCTGATTGGCTGCTATCAAAGTTGAGTTGGACTGCTAAGCCAGTCAACTGTGAAAACTCAGCTCAGGATTCAGTCTTCTTTCTCAGTCTATACAGGAAGAATACTTGGGGAAAGAAAAGTGCAACTAACTGGACATCCCATTAAGAGGTATTTACAGTAAGAAACGTTAAAATAAGGGCCCTACTGTAATATGAATTTACAATACAATCACTATTCCATGATAATGGGGTAACTACAAATGATCTAAATGGGGAGAAGTAGACGTCTTCTTTGTGGGAAATTCCCAATGTTTATGTCCAAATACAAGACTTGTAACTGAAAATCATGTAAACTTAAACCCATGACAATTAAATAGAAATGATAACCAGAGATAATTTATGTGCTATGAGGGAGTGTGATGAGAATAAAGAAGTTGCTGTAATGTATAAAGTTATGCATTCAGAGGTAATATTTATCAAGTGCTTACACTGTGTAAAGTTAGATGTTTTCTGGGTATTGTTCATTTAATTCCCCAACAACATTGTGAAAAGACTATTATCCCCATGTTACTAAATAGAAGATGCAATAAAAGAAGTTGTCAACCAATATTTCTTTTTTAAAAATGACTTATTTATTTATTTGGAGGGCAGAATTACAGAGAGGCAGAGGCAAAGGCAGAGAGATCTTCCATCCACTGGTCCACTCCCCAAATGGCTGCGATGGCCAGAGCTGGGCCAATCATAAGCCAGGAGCCTGGAGCCTCCTCCAGGTCTCCCACGTAGGTGCAGAGGCCCAAAGACTTGGACCATCCTCCATTGTCCTCCCAGGCACATCAGCAGGAAGCCAGATAAGAAGTGGAGCAGCCAGGACTTAAACCAGTGCCCACATGGGATACTGGCACTGCAAGCAGCAGTTCCACCTGCTACGCCACAGCGCCGGCCCCAGGAACAAATATTTCAGTGGCCAGAGATGATCTTGGGCTAAAGTCTGTGCCTTTTCTCCTATCATGTGATGACCACTCAAAGAAGGTAGGACCAAATTGAGAAAACTTAATACTGAAAGAAAAATGAGGATATTGTATGTGTGGGGAAGAATGATGGTGGACAATTTAGAAGTTTGGGAGAAAGGTCAAATATCATATACTTAATCTATTTTAGTTTCTAATTTTTTATTTTGTGGAATCTTTGTATGCTAATAAGATCTATTGAATCAAGGGACCTTGGTTCCAAGGCCATATCTGTCATTTGCTAGGAATGAACTTGAATGTTTTACTTAATGGCTCATATATCAGCCCTAAGGTACGTTCCATCTCTAGTCTATAAGTAAATCAATACAGGCTGAATGTTAGAAGGAAGGGACCTGCAAGCAATACCCAAGCTACAGAGAGCCCGACCATCACTCCTTGGCCCTCCTTCCCCTGAGTTCCCTCCGTCAGGTTTTCTTTCTTTAATGAGAGTTTTTGAAAATATTTCAAAGTAAGTTTTTAGTTCTTTGATCAAAGATAGACACAATCAAATACAATCAAATGAAATTGACATATTTCTTTTTTTAACTTTTATTTAATAAATATAAATTTCCAAAGTACAGTTTATGGATTACAATGGCTTTTCCCCCCCATAACTTCCCTCCCACCCGCAACCCTCCCAACTCCCACTCCCTCTCCCATTCCATTCACATCAAGATTCATTTTCAATTATCTTTATATACAAAAGATCAAATTAGTATAAATTAAGTAAAGATTTCATCTGTTTGCACCCACACAGAAACACAAAGTGTAAAATACTGTTTGGGTACTAGTTATAGCATTAATAACAAATTGACACTCTTGTTTATGGCATCAGTAATCACCCTAGGCTCTTATCATGAGTTGCCAAGGCTGTGGAAGCCTTTTGAGTTCGCCGACTCCGAATTTATTTAGACAAGGTCATAAAGTGGAAATTCCTTTCTCCCTTCAGAGAAAGGTACCTCCTTCTTTGTGGGCTCTTCAGCCAGATCCTAATGCCTTAAGGGCTGATTCTGAGGCCAGAGTGCTGTTTAGGACATCTGCCATTCTATGAGTCTGCTGTGTATCCCGTTTCCCATGTTGGATCATTCTCTCCTTTTTTTATTCTATCGGTTAGTATTTGCAGACACTAGTCTTGTTTATGTGATCCCTTTGACTCTTAGACCTATCATTATGATCAATTGTGAACAGAAATTGATCACTTGAACTAGTGAGATGGCATTGGTATGTGCCACCTTCATGGGATTGAATTGGGATCCCCTGGCACGTTTCTAACTCTACCATTTGGGGCAAGTCAGATTGAGCATGTCCCAAATTGTACATCTCCTCCCTCTCTTATTCCCACTCTTATATTTAACAGAGATCACTTTTCAGTTAAATTTAAACACCTAAGAATAAATTGTGTGTTAATTACAGAGTTCAACCAATAGTATTAAGTAAGACAAAAAAAATACTAAAAGGGATAAAGCATTAAATTGTTCATTGACAGTCAGGACAAGGGCTGTTCAAGTCACTGTTCCTCATAGTGTCCATTTCACTTCAACAGGTTTCCTTTTTGGTGCTTGGTTAGTTGTCACCGATCAGGGAGAACATATGATATTTGTCCCTTTGGGACTGGCTTATTTCACTCATTGGTGTGCCTGGGTTTGCTCCCAATTCCAGCTCTCTGCTAATGTGCACTCTGGGAGATAGCAGATGATGGCTCAAGTACTTGGGTACCTGCCGCCCATGTGGGAGACCTGGACTGACTTCCTGGCTCCCCAGCTACAACCTGTTCCAGCCCTGGCTATTGTGGGCATTTAAGGAGTGAACCTGTGGGGAGAAGATTCTCTCTCTCTCTCTCTCAAATAAATAAAAAATACATAAATTACATTTTTACAAATTATCTCCAACAATGTGACAAAAATGATGAATTAAAAAACCCAGCAAATATTTGTACTTCTATTGTCAATTAAATATATTTAATCAAGCAAGCCATTTTGAGAGAAGGAAAACTAGCTAAATTTAATACTCAGCAGTAGTTACAGCTGGCAAGTTAGTCTAGGCCAGCTGCAAGTAGTATAAAAGAGACAAAGGACTTTTATTTAGTTATTACAGCAAAAGCAGCGGCCAGAGTGCCAATGCAAAGTACACTCCCGTTCTCCCTGCCCCACCAGCTCCGCAGAGGTGAAATCCATCGTGGGTGCTACGTGAAAGGTCTTCAGAGACTCATGGACAATGTGCATTACGAAAAGACTATTCATGCATTTCAAAAAAAATTTTGCACCAAAATAAATTTCTATTTTCACACACTTTCTTGGATCTGCCATAATAAAGTACCACACAGCAGAAATTTAGTTCTTTTCATTCTAGACGTTAAAAGTCCAAGACCAAGGGCTGATTTCCACGGAGGGCCCTGGGAAAGGAATCTCCTCACACCTCTCTCTTCCCTTGGCTCAGAAACGCTGTCTGTTCTTGTGTCTTCACTTTGTCTTCCCTCTGTACCTGTCTTCTTTGAAGGACTGGATCAGACTGTATTAGAGCCCAGAGTAGTGACCTCCCTTTAACGTCATCACCTCGTTACAGACCCTCGTGCCAAATACAATCGCATTCTGAGGCACTGGAGTCAGCATTTCAACACACGGACTTTGGAGGTACACAATTCCTTCCACCGTAGATGTTCACACAAATAATGGGGTGCATTGCAGCAGAGAAACACTGTTAGATTTGTCCTGGAATAAGCCTGCTGTGGTCTGTGGTGGCTTACTTCATCCCTCAAGCCTGGTGGCTGCAAACACAGCTCGGGAAAGCCAAGCTGAAGAGCGGCCAGAGCTTCGCATTCTTGGCAAACCCAGCAAGAACAGGCAAGAACACGCAGGACCACATGGAGGTTTTTCTCCCAAAATCAATCAAAAGATTACATTGTTATAGCTGTACTATTCTTAGAGTCTTCTATCAATCCAAGTCCTGTTTTATGTGACTAGATAACTGATCTCACCTCTCCAACAGTGATCTACATTGAAGAACAAGCTACCTAAGCCACATCTGTTTTCCTAGTTGGCAATAATTATATTTATAAATATTTTAGTACCAATATAGTCAGCTATTATGTTGCCTGATTTTGTCACATAATGGCAAATATTTTAACTTGAAGAGATAATTTCCTTACTACTTTGTAGTCATTCACAGGAGAAGAAACTCAAAAATATGTGCACAGTAATTGAAATAATTCTCATTTATTCCAACAGATGGAATCACCATTTATATATGTTATCATTTTACTTTTGAGCATATTTGAATCCTTATCAGGAATAGATTACAATAAAGGTAAGTTTCAGACTCTGTTATTCTCTGTTTTCTTCATAAGAGTTCTCATTTATATTCCTTCCTCATTTATACTTAAAATATTTTTTCAGTATTTCTTTATCTCATCGTCCTCTTGTTCCCAGGTACTAGTTTCTAATAACATCATTGTGAAACCACTGTTATTAAGCTGTATACGTAGAGACTTTTCTGTTGTCACACTATTTCATCACTTGTAAGTCTTGGAAAATTTAAATAGCATTTTATATTTGTAAAACTTTAATTATTTAAACAGACATTTTTAAATTTTCCTCCATGAATAGTTGCATGTACTATGAATTGTACACCCAATTACAAGGCTAGCAAATTGAAACTGAAGAGAATTTTCCGAAAGTAACACACAGATTGAATCAGTCAGTAGGATTTTTATAGTAGAAAAACTTATAAAGGAATAAGACAAACCTTCCATTTGTGCAGACTTCCTAGATTCTTCAGCACCCTAAAATGCGACCTGGGACATAGAAGATGCTCAAAAACAAGGCTGACTGAGTAGATGGAGAGAAGGATTGGGCCTTGTATTCACAGATGTGTTACAGAGTTGGGTGAATTCTGGGATGACCCCCGTGATAGTTCTCATATTGTGCTACAAATGGATGACACATACATGGTTATAATCTAAGAAGAGAGATTCACAGACGAAGTCAGGAGACTTCAGAAATGAGAAGTTACTTCCAGCTGTGTGGGGAGGGAAAGGCAAAGAGAGAAGATCAAAGATTTTGTACAGAAGAAAGCAATCACTCTAGGTTCTCCAAATGGGTAATATTGGTGCACACGTATGGGGAATTCTATAACGACATCAAGTTCTGCCAAGACGGCAGAGTAGGTGGTGAGCAATACCATGGAAGTGTGAAATCACAGAACAGGTGAAGGCACAGGATATGTGAGGGGATGGGAAACACTTCAGTTTGACTGGAATGAAGGTGTAGAAGAGAGAAATTTTTTTATTTGACAGAGTTACAGACAGTGAGAGAGACAGAGAGAGAGAGGTCTTCCATCCATTGGTTCACTCCCCAAATGGCCGCTATGGCTGGCACTGTGCCGATCCGAAGCCAGGAGCCAGGTGCTTCCTCCTGGTCTCCCATGAGGGTGCAGGGCCCAAGCACTTGGGCCATCCTCCACTGCCTTCCCGGGCCGCAGCAGAGAGCTGGACTGGAAGAGGAGCAACTGGGACTAGAACTGGCGCCCATATGAGATGCCGGCACTGCAGGCGGAGGATTAACCAAGTGAACCACGGCGCCAGCCCCCGAGAGAAATATTTTTAAAAGAGAGCAGGTTGCCACACATAGACGTATTGAATGTCAGGCTAAGGAGTTTGGGCTTTAGGCGCTATGCTGGAAAAGCATTTAAGATTTCTGGGTAGGGGAGTGACAAAGCTCTAGTTCAGGAAGGTTAATATGGGGGTATAGAGGAGGAAATACTTTTCCTCTCCCCACATAGTTTCTGTGGCTGGAGCCTGTGAATTCAACTGGCAAAAGACAGATTAACAAGAGAAAAATTACACAAATTTTATTTGATGTTTTTTACATGGCATGAGAGACTTCGTAGAAGTCAAAACCCTCCAAAAATGATTATACTCAAGCGTTTATATACCAATTAAAGCAAGAGCAATTAATTGTGGGAATGGGCAAAGACAAAGGAGGAAGATTCAGGTTAGGGACAGTAAACTGAGGGAAACTGATAAAACACACAAAGGCAATTAGTAGAGGACAAGGTTATCTTGGTAGGGTTTGTTTGCACACATTCAGTGTCAACTGATCATTTCTGGTGCTAAAATAAAAAAAGCTGCAGACTGGGCACCCTTTCTTACAGGAAACTTAGGGCCTGTTTGTAGGTTGAAGAGGGGAAGGCAGAGCCCTTCCTGCACCTGCTGATGCTCAGCTGTCTTCAGCTCAAGATAATGAATACGCCCAAGGGGCATGTTTGGGGGTGCATGCTCCGATCTCTTGCAACAGCATTATATAAAAAGGGTGGCCGCGGCTCACTAGGCTAATCCTCTGCCTTGAGGTGCTGGCACACCGGGTTCTAGTCCTGGTCGGGGCACCGGATTCTGTCCCAGTTGCCCCTCTTCCAGACCAGCTGTCTGCTGTGGCCTGGGAGTGCAGTGGAGGATGGCCCAAGTGTGCTTGGGCCCTGCACCCACATGGGAGACCAGGAGAAGCACCTGGCTCCTGCCTTCGGATCAGCGCTGTGCGCCAACCGCAGCACGCCGGGCGCGGCAGCCTTTGGAGGGTGAACCAACGGCAAAAGGAAGACCTTTCTCTCTGTCTCTCTCTCTCACTGTCCACTCTGCCTGTCAAAAATTAAAAAAAAAAAAAAAAGGTGGTAGAGAGATAATGAGAGGCATTTTGTTCCTTCTGGTGTCAACATCATTGCTGTAATTGAGTGACCATAAATATAGAAACAAAAAGATTTCGCAAATGGCACTATTCCTGCGTTCATCCTGGAGTAGTTTTCTTATTCCAGTCAGAGCAGACATTCCATTAGTAATTACATGTGTGTGGATTCCCTTGATATTTGTATCATGATTCTTGTTAAATTAGTCACATACCGTTAAAAATGAATTTCTCTTGCCTGTCTTTCTTTTACAGGCTAAAAAAATAGAATTGTTTCTGCATTTCATTATTAAAGAATAATCTAACAAATTCTATAACTTCAGAATTTCTTATACTTTATTCATTTGAGAAGCAGAGAGACCGAGACATAGATAGACAGAGAGCTCCCATCCACTGGTTCACTCCTGGAATGTCTGTAGGTTAGGCTGGGCCAAAACCAGAAGCTGGGTATGCAATCCAAGTCTCCCACATGAGTGGTGGAATCCAATCACTTGGGCCATCTCTGCTGCCCCCTAGGGTCTGCATTAGCAAAAAGCTAAAGTCAGGAGCCAGAGTCAGATGTTGAACCCAGGCACTCTTCCATGTGAAATGTGCATCTTTTTTTATTTATTTAAAGATTTATTTATTATTCGAAAGTCAGAGTTACACAGAGAGAGGAGAGGCAGAGAGAGAGAGAGAGAGAGAGAGAGAGAGAGAGAGAGAGGTCTTCCATCCACTGGTTCACTCCCCAGATGGCTGCAATGGCTGGAGCTGCACTGATCCGAAGCCAGGCGCCAGAACCAGGAGCTTCCTCCAGGTCTCTCATGCAAGTGCAGGGGCCCAAAGACTTGAGCCATCTTCTACTGCTTTCCCAGGCCACAGCAGAGAGCTGGATCAGAAGTGGAGCCGCTGGGATTCAAACCGGCGTCCATATGGGATGCCAGCAGTGCAGGCAGCGGCTTTACCTGCTACGCCACAGCGCTGGCCCCCAACTTCCTCCTCTGGGGTTGTAGATGGGGAGGGAGAAGCTTCCCTAACTGATTCTAAGGAGACCATCTGACAGCACACTTTCTGGATCCAGCAGACACTCAGCCTTGGGTACTTGGAAAGAGCCTTTTACAGCCCCTCGGTTCTATTAATTGCCAAGAATGTCTTATCCATGGTCCTAAGAAAGGCAGGAGCTTTTCTGTACCTGTTGGTCATTTATTCCTTGGTCAGCTCCTAAACTCCAGTTAGGCCTTCCAGTTCTTTCTGCTGAGATCCAGTTGCCACTCAGATCTTTGAGACAAGACCCTACACGAACCCAAGTTGGTTCTTTCTCACCCGTGCTCTGTCTCTGGACCACAGGAAGCATTGGAGCGCCTTCTACCCCAGCAATTTTTGATTGTGCAGGATTCCCAACATAGCCACCACTTTCTCATCAAACTGCCTCCTGTTCTGTGTACCAATTTATCTCTCGTCCTTTAGATTTTCTAAGCAGGAGTCTGAGTGCATGGCCCAAACACAGCTACACGTGTTGGGTTTGTTAGTGTACCCATCACAGCCTCTCCCTCAGACTCCTGCGCTCCTCCCAACGTCTTCACGTCAGGAGTCCCCATCAGAACACAGGCACCCTCTCCAGTCTCTTGTGCCTGCTGACCCCTTTACACCAAGAGTGAGGAGCTTGGGTCTAAACAGGTTTAGGTCTGCTGCTCAGTTTTGTGATATCAGTTAGCATGGGCTATGTTCTAGCTCAGTGTTTCCGCCCATCTTCCTTTCTAGTTTCCTGCAATCCTGTTTTTAAAAAGAAAAAAGAAATGGAAGACGTGAGTTTCATCTGAGGCCAAGTGAATTTAAAATACAGACTTCTAGGGGCAGGTGTCTGGCCCAGTGGTTAGGATCTCCCTGTGATGCCCACATTGCATATCAGAGAGGCGGGGTTCCAGTGCCTGCTGTGCCAGCTCTGCCCCCAATTCCAGCTTCCTGCCAATATGAACCCTGGGAGACAGCAGATAATGGCTCCAGTGCCTGGGTCCCTGCCACCATGTGACAGACCTGGACTGCATTCCTGGCTCCCAGCTATGGCCGGACACAGTGGGCAAGTGGGAATAAGCAAATGGGAGATTCTCTCTCTCTCTCTCTCTCTCTTTCTCTTTCTCCCCCCTTCCAAATAAAATAAAAATTTTAAATATGTCTATAATTATAATTCTTTTATAAATATTTTGTATTTAAAAATGTGATACTTATGATGAAAATTCTTCTATTAATGATCTAAAATGCATATTTTTTTATTATTTAGGTGATATGGGGAAACACTTTGCTTGTTCTAGCCAAGGGTTCCCCAAAGAAAATGAAATGATCAAGTTGTATCTGTCCACAGAGAACTTGGTAAGGTCCACTAACTGCATGGTTACCACCCTTTACGTTCCTTTTAAGTCCGTGTGTACAACCACAGCACTCTGCCCTTTAAATACCATCTACTGTGTTCAGGCTGGCGGAGGGGACATTCTTTTATTTACTTTTTAAGATTTAATTTATTTATTTGAGAGATAGAGTTGCAGACAGAGAGACAGACAGAGAGAAAGGTCTTCCATTTGCTGGTTCACTCCCCAAATGGCCACAACGGCTGAAGCTGGGCAGATCCAAAGCCAGGAGCCAGGAGTTTCTTCTGGGTCTCCCATGTCGGTGCAGAGGCCCAAGCACTTGGGCCATCTTCTGCTGCTTTCCCAGGTGCATTAGCAGGGAGTTGGATTGAGAGCAGAACAGCCAGGACTCAAGCGGGCATGCATTTGGGATGCCAACACCACTGGGGGAGGCTTAACCTTCTACGTCGCAGCACCAGCCCTGTTTGTATTTATTTGAAGGGCAGAGAGATAGACAGACAGACATAAATCCCAGCTGCTAGCTCACTCCCCCAAGGCCTACAGTAGACAGGACTGGGCCAGACCAAAGCCAGGAATCAGGAACTCAGTTCAGCTTCCCACAGGGACAGCAGAGCTGCAGGTACATACGCCACCATCCACTGCCTCCCAGGGCATGAATTTGCAGGAAGCCAGATTCAGGAGTGGGATGGGAACTGAGCCTACTCACTCCAGGGTGGGATGGGGCCTCCCGAGTGATACCGTAACGGTTAGACCACACACCCACCCTGGAAGATGGCGCACTATATAAACAGTAACCTTTCCTATCCTTCCTATTTCATGTCCCCTTCAATCAGTGAACTATTTCATCCAGCCTTGAGCACTGTGGGAGGTTTTGTGCGCATTTTTTAAATGGTGCCTCCTCCCTCTCTTTTTAAAAAAAAAATTGACTGTAATAATCCTCATTTTTTATGGAGCTGATTTGTCCTTTTGAAGTCTGACAGATGTAGCCTGTTAAAGTTACCTCACATGACCTTGAGAAAGAATCTTTCCTTGTATTAGGAGTACCACATTGCAGTTCTCATCTGGGGTAAGGGATGGTATGATCCTTTGACTCAAATAATGGGAGACTTTTTAAGAAACACAACAACATTAAATAAAGCATGGTAGTAAGATACCCATACAGCAAACAATAACAAAAATGTAATTAAAAATGCAGATTGTCTGAAAGTCTATGATAAATATAATAAACACAAAGAAAAGCACCCCTCAAAGACAAGTGTCTCTATCCCTAAGTCTGTTTTGAGTTAGGCCCCAGGTCCTTTTATTTTTTAATGATTTTATGTATTTATTTGAGAGGTGGAGTTACAGACAGAGAGACGGGGAGGCAGAAAGAGGTCTTCCATCTACTGGTTAACTCCCCATGGCCACAATGGCTGGTGCTGAGCTTATCTGAAACCAGGAGCCAGGAGCTTCTTCCAGGTGCAGGGGCCCAAGCACTTGGGCCATTTTCCTCTGCTTTTCCAGGCTATCAGCAGAGAGCTGGATTGGAAGTGGAGCAGCTGGAACTGGATGCTTGATATGCCACACATCTAGTTAAGATTTTGTAATTACAGTTATTATGAAGTGCATGCCCTTTGAGTCAAAAGTGCCTTTCTGGGCCAGCGCCATGGCTCACTTGGTTAATCCTCTGCCTGCGGCACTGGCATCACATATGGATGCCAGTTCTAGTCTCGGCTGCTCCAATTCCTATCCAGCTCTCTGCTATGGCCTGGGAAAGCAGTAGAAAATGGCCCCCGTCCTTGGGCCCCTGCACCCAACATGGGAGACTCAGAGGAAGCTCCTGGCTCCTGGCTTTGGCTCAGCACAGCTCCGGCCATTGCAGCCATTTAGGAGTAAACCAGTGAATGGAAGACCTCTGTCTCTGTCTCTGTCTCTCACTCTCACTGTATGTAACTCTACCTCTCTAATAAATAAATAAAAATATTTAAAAAAAAGAATTGCAACCTACTTTTTAAAATGGTTGTAGTATAGAAGTTCTGGTAATGGAATAATTAGGAATAATGACCAATATTTGTATAGTGTTTATGTGTATCAAATATCTTTCTAAGTTTTATGTTCATTATGACATTTACTCTTCACTTGAACTCTTCCCTGGGATAACTACTGCTGTCCTTTGCCCTGAAGATTCTGCCACCAAGCTCCTCATCTCTCTTCCCTGCTTTATTTTGTCATTTATTCTGTATCTATTTTTAAAATTTATTTATTTATCAGAAAGAGCTACACAGAGAGAGGAGATGCAGAGAGAGAGAGAGGTCTTCCATCCAGTGGTTCACTCCCAAAATGGCCGCAATGGCCAAAGCTGCGCCGATCCAAAGCCAGGAGCCAGGAGCTTCCTCCAGGTCTCCCACATGGGTGCAGGGGCCCAAGGACTTGGGTCATCTTCCACTGCTTTCCCAGGCCATACCAGAGAGCTGGATCGGAAGAGGAGCAGCCAGTATGAGAACCAGTCCCCATATGGGATGTTGGCACTGCGTGTGGCGGCTTTACCTGCTACACCACAGTGCCGGCCCCCTGTATCTATTTTTCTTGTACTGTCTTTCCCGTATCCAGCTCCCAATCCATCCATCCAGTCTGTCTCGCTGCCAACCCCCACTAGAAAGCAAATTCACAAGGGCAAGGATTCTGTTTTGTTCATGTCTGTATCTCCGGCAACTACAGCAGAGTAAGGCCTCCATCTATTTCAGAATGAATGGGTTTCCTGACTTTTTAGATAGGGAAACTGAGACTGAAACCTGCCCGAAGTGATCGTAACTGTCGGGAAAACTAATCAAGGCACAGCTCTGGGTATCTGCCACTTGTTGATTTTCAGTGAAATCTAATATTCATGATTGCTGCATTTTCACATACCTTCTCAAAATTGGGAAATAGCCAATAAAAATGCAGGAAGGTCAGGGCTGGTGTTGTGGCTCAGTGGGACAAACCACCGCCTGCAACTCCAGCATCCCATGTCAATGCCAGTTCAAGTCCCGGCCGCTCTGCTTCCAAGCCCGATTCTTGCTCATGTGCCTGGGACAGCAGCAGAGGGTGCGGAGGATGACCCAAGGGCTTGGGCCCCTGCCACACATGTGGGAGACCTGGAGGAGGGTCCTGACTCCGGTGTTGGCCTGGCCCAGTCCCAGCTGTCATGGCCTTTTAGGGAGTGAACCACCAGACAGAAAATCTTTGACCCTCCCTCTCTACATATAATTCTGTCTTTCAAATAAACAAATAGATATTTTTTTAAATGCCAGAAGATCATCTTTTTAATTAATTTTTATTTACATAAGGGGAAAAATTTCATATATTTCATTTCATATATACAGTTCTAAGCATATCATGTTACTCCCCATCCTATCCTCATTCCTTTCTTATTTTTCTCTTAATTTTTACAATGACATACTTTCAATTTACTTATAATCATAAGCTTAACCCTCCACTAAATAAAGAATTCAACAAGTAATAAGTAGGGGGAAAAAACACTGTTACTCAAGAGTGTAGACCAGGGCTATAAACAATAACCAAATCTAAAAAATGTCAAAATGACCACTCCGCTTAGTGAAGTAAGCCAGTCCCCAAAAGACAATCATCATGTTTTCCTTGATATGAGGTAACTAATATAAAGAGTACCAAAAAACGTAATGTTTAAGAATGAAATTGACACTTTGAAGAATATCATCTTTACCTTATACATTGCTTCCTTTTTTATTTAGGCACAAAAGAATGATTTTAATAAAATCAGAATTGCTAGCATGTTGCATTGATCTTGTGTTTATTAGCTGTAATTCATTACCATTGCTGTGACAGACAAGGTTATCATAAGGATGACTGGAAGCCTTTATGACAGTGACATAAGCCCCACTGGGTTTTGAAAGTGTTCATTTAAAAAATAGATCTTTTCTTCCTAGCCAGAGTTGGGAATACATTTTTAATGTATTTATTTATTTATTTATTTGAGAGATAGAAACAGAGATCTATCATCCATTGGTTCAGTACCCAAATGCCCACAACAACCCAGAGCTGAGCCAAGCCAAAGACAGGAGCCCTAAACTCAATCTGGGTCTCCCACTTGGGTGGCAGGAAACCAAGTACTTGAGCCATCACCTACTGCCCCCCAGGGTTTATGTTAGCAAGATGCTAAAATCAGAAGCAGAGTTGGACTTGCTATGGGATGCGGACATCCAAGAAATATCTTAACTGATGCACTGCTGGCTCCTCAATATGGGAATTATTAGAGAGCAGTCTTTGGAAACATTTACTATTCACAGATTTCTCTTCATTTTTATATTTTTAAAAGCCATTAATTCCTCTTTTTAAAACTTATTAATTTATTATCTGAAAGGCAGAATGACAGAGAGAGAGAGGGAGACAGAGAAATCTTCCATCTGCTGGTTCACTCCTCAGATACCTGCAAGAGCCAGGGCTGGGCCAGGTCAGCAGCCAGGGGCTCCATCCAGGTGTCCCACATAGCAAGCAAGGACCAAGTACTGAGCCGTCCCTGCTGCTTCTCAGGGTGTGTCCCAGCAGGTAGCTGGATAGAGAGCCGAGGCAGGACTCCACCCCAGGCTCTCCGGTGCGGGATGCAGGTGTCGAAACAGTGGCTGAACCCCGGGACCACAAGGCCCATCCCTCATTTTTGAGTTAAAGTAGCATCCCCATCCCCAGCAAATGATCATGACTTACTGTTTTTTCTCTCTCTCTCTTTCCTAAAGAAAATCCAGTGTTTTTTCCAAACTGAAAATGAGCTATCTTCAAAGGATGTGATAAGTGTGTTCACATCAGGAGGACTGGCACCCAGCTTGGGAATCATAAATAGTACATATAATGGCATCTTCCACTTTAATTTAACTTTGGTAATTGCATTTTATTTTATTCTTTGCTATGTTAAAAAGAGGCATACTATTCCTTACAGGATATGGTTTTAAAAATAAGTAGTTTCTATAATATTCCATCTATATACATGTTAAACTCAATAGTACCATGTTGTACATTTTACTTTGAATAGTCATATTTTTAAAAGAAAGTGAAAGAAGAAACAATATACATTGTTTTACTATTTACCTAAATATTTACTGTTTCTACCGTGCTTCACCCTTTTCTATAGATGCAAGTTGACATCAGATATTAATTTCTTTCAACTTGAAGAATTCTCTGTATGACCTGCTGACAATCAATTCTCTCTGGTTTTCTCCCCCTGAAAATGTCATTCTTTTCTAGTGACAATTTTGTTCAAATATATTCATATACCCTACAATCCACTTGTTTAAATTATGTTACTCATTGGTTGTGAGTATATTCACAGTTGTGCCACATCACTACTGTCTTAACTTCAGAACATTTTCATCAACTGGAAAAGACACCCCGCACTCTGGAGCAGGCCCCGTCTCCCTTCACCCCCAGCCTTGGGCAATCACTAGTCTACATTTCCCATTAGCCAAGTGTGTTCAAGATCCATTCATGTTTTGCACGTACCAGTAAGTCATTCCTATTTATGGCTGGATAATATTCCATTGTGTAGAGACCACGTTTATCTGCTCATCAGTTAATAAACATTTGGATTGTTCTACTTTTTAGCTATTATGAATAATGCTACTGTGAAATTTGCATACAAGTTTTTATATGGAAGTAGGCCTTTATTTCTCTTGGATGTTGGGTCCTATAATAATTCCATGTTTAACTTTTTGCAGAACTGCCAGGCTGTTTTCCACAGCGGTTGTATTGATTTATATTTCCACCAACAGCTTATTTGGGTTCCAATTTCTGGACATTTTCCTCAGCCTTTATTATTATCTTTTTGTTATAGTCATCCTAGTAGATCTGAGGTGCTCTCTCATTGTGGTTCTGATTTGCATTTCCCAAATGACTAATGATGTTGCGTATTTTTTCATGTGTTTGTTGGCCACTTGCATATCTTATTTGGGGAAATTTCTGTTTCTATTATTTGCCTGTTTTCAAGATCCAAACTCATGAAGATTATACTCCTATGTTTTCTTGCAGGCGGTTGACAGGTATAGCTTTTATGTGTGCATCTGTGATCCATTTTGAGTTCATTTTTGTAAACGATGTGAGGTAGGGGTCTGTATTCATTCTTCTGTGTGTGGATATACAGCTTTTCTGGTACAATTTGTGGAGCAGGCTGTTATTCTATTGTTATCTTTGTTGAAAATCAGTTGACCATGGCCAGTGCCATGGCTCACTAGGCTAATCCTCCACCTGCGGCGCCAGCACCCCGGGTTCTAGTACTGGTTGGGGCACCGGATTCTGTCCCAGTTGCCCCTCTTCCAGTCCAGCTCTCTGCTGTGGCCAGGGAAGGCAGTGGAGGATGGCCCAAGTGCTTGGGCCCTGCACCCCATGGGAGACCAGGAGGAGGCACCTGGCTCCTGGCTTTGGATCAGCACAGCGCGCCGGCCGTAGCAGCCACTTGGGGGGTGAACCAAGAGAAGGAAGACCTTTCTCTCTGTCTCTCTCTCTCTCTCACTGTCTAACTCTGCCTGTCAAAATAAAAATAAGTTAAGAAAAAAGAAAATCAGTTGACCATAAACAGGGCTTGTATCTGGATTCTCAATTCTATTACATTGAGTTACATGGTTGTCCTTATGCTACATGTTGCTTTGATATTGTTAACTTTGTATTAAGTTTTGAAATCAGGAAGCAGAGTCTTCTGTTTTTCAATATTATTTGTTAGTCTAAATCCCTTGTGTGTCCATATCAAATTTAGAAGAAACTTGTCAATTTCTACAAAGAGCCAGTGAGGATTTTCATAGGGATTGTGTTGGATCTGCAGATATACTGGGGTAAGAAGTCTTTCAGTCTATGAATGAGGGATATCTTTCTATTTACTTTGTTCTTTTTTTCATTGATGTTTAACACTTTTCAGAGTATAAGTTTATACATCTCTTGTTAATTTTATTCCTAATATTTCATACTTTTTGATGCTATTAAAAATGGAATTTCTTCTTTAATGTCATTTCCAGATTGTTTACTGCAAGTGTAGAGAAAGGCAATTGGTTTTGTGCATTTGTTTTGTGTCCAGCGATCTTGCTGTCTTGCCTGTGAGCTCTCGGAAGCTCTGAGGATAGTCTTGAAAAACTCAGAATTCCTGGTTGGCCATTTTCTTTCAGCATTTTGAACATGTTATTCTAATGTTACCTGACACCATTGTTTCTGAATGAGAAGTCACCTGTGAACTTTATTATTGTCCCTTTATGTGATCTGTCATTTTTTACCTGGAAGTTCTTTCAGTATTTTTTTTCTATCTACCCAGCTAGGGTCCTCTGGGCTTCTTGGGTGTAAGATTGCCAGATTTGGAGTCTCCTGCCATTATTTCTCCAAATTGCTTTCTGTTCCCCCCTTTTTTTGTCTCTCGCTGGGACTCCAGTTATGCACATTGGAAATTCATGATATTGTCCCACAGGTCTCTAAAACTGTTCTTATTCTTTAATCATTAGTATCTTTTTTAAAATAGTAATACTAGTGGCTGTAACTCTAATTTTGCTTATTCTTTCTTTTTTGCCATCTCCAATCTGCTATTAGACCTGTTCAGCAAACATTTCACTTCATTTATTATACTTTTCAGTCTTATTACACCCAGTTGGTTTTATTTTTATATTTGTCACTTGTCCCTATTCATTCCCTCATTAGCACAACATTTTCCTTAAACCTACGTGCTTATTTTTAATAACTGCCTTGAAGGCTTTGTCTGTTTATCTGGACTCCATCATTTTACTGTCTACCTTTTTTTTAACATATTAGTTACACTTTCTTGTTTTTCTTCATGTCTTACCATTTTTGGTTGAAAATAAGACAATGAAAAGAAAACTGGACATTGGAAAGAAAAGGCTGTAACCACTCTGGATTCTGTCACACTCTTCTGAGAAATTACTATTACTCTACAAAGCAGACAACTTGCTCTGGCAGAAACTGTAAACTACCTAACCCCTGGTTCTGGCAGCTCATCTGTACTTAGCTCTTTTAGCCTTTATGCTAATTTTTAAAATATTGTTGGCTGGCCTGTGGCGCCTTGGGCTAAAGCCCTGGCCTGAAGCGCCTGCATCCCATGTGGGCGCCAGTTCTAGTCCCGGCTGCTCCTTTTCCAATCCAGCTCTCTGCTATGGCCTGGGAAAGCAGTAGAAGATGGCCCTAGTCCTTGGGCCCCTGCAAACACATGGGAGACCCAGAAGAAGTCCCTGGCTCATGGCTTTGGATCGGCACAGCTCCAGCCATTGCGGCCATCTGGGGAGTGAACCAGTGGATGGAAGACCTCTCTCTCTCTCTTTCTCTCTGTCTCTACCTCTCTCTGTAACTCTGTCTTTCAAATAAATAATAAAAAAAAAATTGTCTTCCAGGAGTGTCCCGTGTGCTTGTGTTGCTCAGGGATTTGGGCAGACTTTATATTTAAATCTTAGAACTCTGCATTCTTGCAGTTTCTGTGATCCTAGGATTTCCTTCTTAAATTCTCAAATGATCTGCCAACCCCAAGCTCTGTCTCTGGATATACAAAGCCTGTAATGCTGCAACTTTCTGATACTTGTGTTGGCTGTATAGTGTTCCATTATGTGGCTGTATCATTATGATGATGGATAAATAATTTAATTATCTCCAGTCTTCTGCTATGAGAAACAATGATGCAAAAATATCCTTGAATTTACCCAAATGAAATGAAACCAGCATATGAAAGAGTTATCTATACTCCCATGTTTATTGCAGCTCAATTTATAACAGCTAAGATATGGAATCAACACAGATGTCCACTAACTGATTACTGGATAAAGAAAATGGATTCACACACACACTATGGAATACTAGTCAGCCATAAAAAAGAATGAAATATTGTCTTTTGCAACAAAATAGATGTACTGGAAACCATTATACTTACTGAATAAGCCAGTACCAAATGGCAAATATAATGTTTTCCCTAATCTGCAGTAACTAATAGAGTACAAAAATATGTACTGTATTTGAGCAAAATTTTGACATTTTGAAATTTGGTTATTGTTTACACATTGTCTCAACTGTTGAGGAACAGTGTTTTTGTTTTTGTTTGTTTTTCTTCTGTTTGTTGAATTCCTTACTTAGTGGAGGGTTAAGCTTATGGTTGTAAAAGTTAAAAGAATAAGAAAGGAAGGAGGAGGGAGGGTGGCAGTGTGGACAGGAGAGAGGGTAGGGTGGGAAGCATCACTGTGCTCCTAAATTGGTATAAATTGTTTACCTATGTAAATAAAATATTTTTAAAAATCCTTGGGTACATTTCAGTTCACATATTAAGAGTATGTGAGGGGCCGGCGCCGCGGCTCACTAGGCTAATCCTCCGCCTAGCGGCGCCGGCACACCGGGTTCTAGTCCCAGTCGGGGCGCTGGATTCTGTCCTAGTTGCCCCTCTTCCAGGCCAGCTCTCTGCTGTGGCCAGGGAGTGCAGTGGAGGATGGCCCAAGTGCTTGGGCTCTGCACCCCATGGGAGACCAGGATAAGTACCTGGCTCCTGCCTTTGGATCAGCGCGGTGCGCCGGCCGCAGCGCGCTGGCCGTGGTGGCCATTGGAGGGGAACCAATGGTGAAGGAAGACCTTTCTCTCTATCTCTCTCTCACTGTCCACTCTGCCTGTCCAAAAAAAAAAAAAAAAAAAAAAAAAGAGTATGTGAGTTTAATGTAGGAAAAATTCCTAACATTGGAGTTGCTGGGTAAAGGGCATATGCATTAAATGCTTTTGTTTATTTTTTTTAAGGATAAAGTTTCAATGCCAAAATAAGTGCTACTATTAACATTTTTTTCTTATGTCTTCTTTATTCAAGTTCAGTGATCAAGTGCTCTGGTTAATTGATATTCCTAGAGAAAACATCACAAGAAACACAGGTAAGAGTGATCTGAGTTAACCCTTTTACTCGTGGGCCTAGTTTGCCAAATTTAGCAGGTAAAAAGCATTCATTATGTTAAAATGATTCCCATTTTCTCATGTAAATGTCCTACATGGTTGGTTTTTTTTATTTTTATTTTTTTTTTGTTTTGTTTTTTTGACAGGCAGAGTGGACAGTGAGAGAGAGAGAGACAAAGGTCTTCCTTTTCTATTGGTTCATCCCCCAATAGCCGCTACAGCTGGCGCACTGCGCTGATCCGAAGCCAGGAGCCAGATGCTTCTCCTGGTCTCCCATGGGGTGCAGGGCCCAAGTACTTGGGCCATCCTGCACTGCACTCCCTGGCCACAGCAGAGAGCTGGCCTGGAAGAGGGGCAACTGGGACAGAATCCGGCACCCTGACCGGGACTAGAACCCGGTGTGCCGGTGCCTCAAGGCGGAGGATTAGCCTAGTGAGCCACGGCGCCAGCCCCTACATGGTATTTGGAATATACTTGCTAAAAGTATTTGTAGCTTATTTGAAATTCAAATTTAATTGGGCTTCTTATACTTTATCTAGCAATTCTATTATATATGGATTTTTCTAGCATACATATGTTTATATTATCCTTCATTTAAAGTAAACCCTTTTTTTTCAGAAATTAGAATTGCAGTACTAATAAACTTGGGCAGCAGTTAATTTTGTTGAGACTGAATCATTCATCTTAAATCTTACAGGCTATAATAGCTTTTGTGTGATTGTATTGTGAAATCTATTATTGTTATGTGGCAGTGTTGCATTATATGCTACTGTATAAATCCAGATGGAAATAGGAGAAAAGCCAAATTCCAAGAGTTGTGAGTATTGAACTAGAGGATATTCAGGCATAAAATGTATCCCTGGGGCCAGCACTGTGGTATAGTGGGCTAAGCCTCTGCCTGCAGTGCCAGAATCCCATATGGGCGCCAGTTCAAGTCCTGGCTGCTCCTCTTCTGATCCAGCTCTCTGCTACGGCCTGGGAAAGCAGTAGAAGATGGCCCAAGCCCTTGGGCCCCTGCACCCACATGGGAGAGTGCTGGGAGAGTGGGATGGGGGTGTTTTATAGGCCAGTCTTTCTGGTGTAGTTAAAGGACATCCCGAACTGTGTGCCCCACAGAGTGAAGATGGGGAGGTGAAAGTAAGCCTGAGATGATAGAAAAGGTTCTACAGATAAGGGGACATCAAGGATAGCAGTCTGCAGCAAAGCCCCAGTGCTGATGCCTGACCTGGATCCTGTCCCGACCTTTACCCTTTTAGCATCTCATTTTATTAAACTGGCCTTATAATTAGAAATTTTGGTGATTTTTTTCCAGGAATTCATCTTGGAAATCATACTTTTTGTAAAAATGTAGCCTAATTCTCATTAACATAAAGATGAATGCTATGTTATTATGGCTGCCTGACATGATATTGACATTGAAGCGACAACGGAAGGAGTGAACATGTTGTTTCTACTTCTACTGTTTATTTACCCACTTTACTTTCAAGATGTGTTGATGCTGAGGCTTCTCATGCAAGTACAAGGGTGATCTGAGAACTCAAGTATTTTATAGAAAAAGATCAGTGCTGGTGCTGCACCTCACTAGGCTAATCCTCTGCCTGTGGCGCTGGCACCCCAGGTTCTAATCCCCAGTCGGGGCACCGGATTCTGTCCCAGTTGCTCCTCTTCCAGTCCAGCTCTCTGCTGTAGCCCGGGAAGGCAGTGGAGGATGGCCCAAGTGCTTGGGCCCCTGCACCCACATGGGAGACCAAGAGGAAGCTCCTGGCTTCGGATCGGCGTGGCCATTTTGGGGGTGAACCAACGGAATAAGGAAGACCTTTCTCTCTGTCTCTCTCTCTCTCTCACCGTCTAACTCTGCCTGTCCAAAAAAAAAAGAAAAGTAAAGAAGAAGATCAGATAAGCTCTGCCTCTCCTGACAACTCCCTGGACTGAGTAAAAAGAAATATATTTGTTCTAGGAATGCAATAGAAGGAGTGGATGGGCTATGCAGAGAGTTATATGCCAGAAAATAAAGATTTAGGGGAAAAGAGGCCATATATGCTCGTTCATTTTTATCTTCTGCCATTCCATGAATTTGAGTACTTTATGCTGATGCTCCTTAACTTGTGACTGGGCTACATCCTGATAAATCCAATGCAAGTTGAAAATATAAGGAGGCTGGCATTTTGGCACAATGGGGTAAGCCGCCTCCTGCAGTGCTGGCATCCCATATGTGCTCTGCTTCGAGTCCCACCTGCTCCACTTCCAATCCCTGCAAATGCACCTGGGAAAGCACTCTGGCTTCTGGGGAGTGAACAGCAGATGTCTGCTCTCTGTCTTCATGGGCTTCATGTTAAGTCATTTGTAAAGGCAGAGGATACTGGTACTCACAGCACAGTGAGAAATCAGTGAATTAATACGAATGATCCCTGACTCACATTACAAGGTTTCAATTTACTATTTTTCTTTTTTAAAAAAAGATTTATTTATTTATTTGAGAGGCAGAGTGACAGAGAGGCCATGGCAGAGAGAGAGACAGAGAGAGAGAGAGAGAGAGAGAGACAGAGAGAGAGAGAGGTCTTCCATCTGCTGGTTCACTCCCCAGATGGCGGCAACAGTCAGAGCCGGGCCAATCTGAAGCCGGGAGCCTGGAGTTTCCTGTGGGTCTCCCATGTGGGTGCAGGGACCCAGGTGCTTAGACCGTCTTCCACTGCTTTCCCAGACCATTAGCAGAGAGCTGGTTCGGAAGAGGAGCAGCCGGGACACAAACAGGCGCCCATATGTGATGTGTGCACCATAGGCAGAGGTTTAGCCTATTGTGCCACAGCACCAGCCGCCTGGAAATGTCTCTTAATTAGTATTTGTAGACCTTTTACATGTAATGTAATTGCTGACATATTAGTATTAAAATCTACCACCCTGCAAATTATTTTCTATTTGTTCTGTCTCTTCTGTTTTACTTTTTCTCCCTTTTTCTGTCTTTATTCATATTACTTATTTTGACAATTGCATACCTCCACTATTGACTTATTATTTTTATCTTAAAAAATTATTAGTGCCTACCCTAGGGTGTACACCATATATCTCTCCAATTTTCTCTGTAATTCTTTCAAGTAAAAATATTTTTATTTATTTTACTTGAAAGTCAGAGTTACACAGAGAGAGAAGGAAAGGCAGAGAGAGAAGGAGAGGCAGAGAGAGAGAGAGAGAGAGGTCTTCCATCCACTGGTTCACTTCCCAGATGGCCGCGACAGCCGAAGCTATGCCAATCCAAAGCCAGGAGCCGGGAGCTTCTTCTGGGTCTCTCATTTGGGTGCAGGGGCATAAGGACTTGGGCAGTTTTCCACTGCTTTCCCAGGCCATAGCAGAGAGCTGGATCAGAAGTAGAGCTGCTGGGACTCGAACCGGTATTCATATGGGATGCTGGCACTGCAGGCGGCAGCTTTACCCGCTATGCCACAGCACTGGCCCCTCAAGTAAAAATCTTTTAAAAATGTTAGTATCTTGATTTATTGCTGTGATAAGATCACTTCATATTTACTCATTATTTTATCATCAAAATATTTTCAGGAGAAACATGATAAACCTGACACATAGATTCAGTTAAAATAGTTGGAAAGAGGAAGATTTTCATTGTTGGTAATTTCTTAAATTTCACCGACATGACAAATGAAAAAACTAGTAGATTGTTTGTATTTTGTTTTCAAACAGATGTTGCAGCTGTAGAAGAATGGTTGGTAAGGATCACTTTACACCATGGATTAAATATTTATGCCACAGAAGGGACTCTACTGGACAGTGTTAGAGGTAAATGCCCTGAGGAATATGGGTTGTACTTTTTTCCCAAGAGACAGGTACACACCCATCTGATGCAGTATTACTTGAAGTAAGGTCAAAAACTAGGGCCAAATTAACTGTCCATAAATAGGGGGAAAGACATAAATAGGAGAAATGTTAAAGGAAATAAATCCGTATATATCATTGAGAACAGAGCTCAAAACCATTGAGTGAAAACTCAAACTGCAGACTAGAGTAGAGAGTATTTCTCTAATTCCGGGGTAGGCGTGTAGTGAAGCAGCTAAGCCCTCACCTGGGACATCCAGGCGCCATTTCAGAGTGCCCGGGGTTTGAGTTCTGGCTGCTTCAGATTCAGTTCTGCTACTGCCACCTGGGAAGCAGCAGCTGATGACTCAGTGACCGAGTCCTTGCTACCCATGGGACTGACGTCCAGGGGAGTCCTTGCTACTGACGTCCACTGTAGCCTGGCCCAGCCCTGGCTATTGAAATCTGGGGAGTAACTCAGCAGGTGGGAGATCTCTGTCTCCATCTCTCTGACTCTTTCTCTCTCTTTCACATTGTCATTCTGCCATCCAAATACAAGATAAAAATCAGAAAACACACAAAGCATAATTTTTATTGCAAATTATTAAAATTCAGACTGGAAATATGCACAGCAGTTTCAGACATTGGGGGAAAGTTTGGGAATGAGACCATGGAGGGGAGCAGAGTTATATTTAATTGATTCTGTGTCATTTTGTTTCTTTTAACCAAAATTAAATTATCTGAAACAAAATGACAAGTGTTGTACTTTTTTTTATAGTTTCCAAAATTTGAAAGACAGTGAGATGGCTGGCGTTGCGGCTCACTAGGCTAATCCTCCGCCTTGCAGCGCCGGCACACCAGGTTCTAGTCCTGGTCGGGGTGCCGGATTCTGTCCTGGCTGCCCCTCTTCCAGGCCAGCTCTCTGCTATGGCCCAGGAGTGCAGTGCAGGATGGCCCAAGTGCTTGGGCCCTGCACCCCATGGGAGACCAGGATAAGTACCTGGCTCCTGCCATCGGATCAGTGCGGTGCGTTGGCCGCAGCGCGCTGGCTGCGGTGGCCATTGGAGGGTGAACCAACGGCAAAGGAAGACCTTTCTCTCTGTCTCTCTTTCTCACTGTCCACTCTGCCTGTCAAAAATTAAAAAAGAAAAGAAAAAAGAAAAAAGACAGTGAGCCAATTATTCACCAGTTATTGCCATACTGGCTTTGTGGGACTCATATTTTGATTCCCTGTACAGATTTTTTTAAGTATTAAAATACACAATAAAATTATTTGGTTTATTTTAAATCTGAATAATTTACATATTTAAATGTACCCAGGCAGGGATGGGGAACCTTTTTTCTGCCAAGGGCCATTTGGATACTTAGGACACCATGCACAAGCCACACAAAATGATCAACTTAAAAATCAGCCTGCTATAGATCTGTTGACTTTTGAGTGCCCACTGTGATTGCCTTGGCAGGGCCAGATCAAAAGTTCACGGCCTGCTGCGGCCTGGGGCCTGGATGTCTCCACGCCTGTGTACAGAGCACTGTGGCCGCAGAGAGCTTCGCAAGTGACTAAACCTTAGCAGACTCAGGATGCAGAAGTGAATTCAGTCTGTTTGAGGAGCCACAAGGAAGCCAGTCTGCTGAAGCGCGTTGAAAGACAGGATACTGCGGGGCCGGCACCGTGGTGCAGTAGGCTAAGCCTCCACCTGCGGCGCCAACATTACAGAGAGGCAGAGAGAGAGAGACAGAGACAGAAAGAGAGAGGTCTTCCATCCACTGGTTCACTCCCCAGATGGCTGCAATGGCCAGAGTTGCACTGATCCAAAGCCAGGAGCCAGGAGCCTCTTCTGGGTCTCCCACATGCATGCAGGGGCCCAAAGACTTGTGTCATCTTCTACTGCTTTCCCAGGCCATAGCAGAGAGCTGGATTGGAAGTGGTTGGCTGCTCCTCTTCTGATCCAGCTCTCTGCTTATGGTAGGGGAAGGCAGTGGCAGATGACCCAAGTGCTTGGGCCCCAGCACCCAGGTGGGAGACCCTGAGGAAGCCCCTGTCTCCCGGCTTCCATTGCAGCCATTTGGGGAGTGAATCAGTGCATAGAGGACCTTTCTCTCTGTCTCTCCCTCTCTGTCTGTAACTCTACCTCTCAAATAAATAAATAAAGTCTTTTTAAAAAATGACAGAGCAGTGAATAATTCAGTTTGGAGAGGCTGGCAGGGATATGGTTTTAAAAAGTGTGTACTTTGTTCTAATTATAATGAAAAGTCACTGGAGTGTTCCAAGCAGGAGGTGACAACTCTGGTCTCTGCTTTATAAAAAGATCACTTTGGCTGCTCTGTAGAGAACTGACTCTTGCGGGGAGAAAGGGCAAGAATGGAATAATGGAAGCTGGCAGCAGCTACGGCCAGGGCGGCTCAGGGAGGGCGTGGAGTGCCCAGACACGGGATCAGCAGTGGAGACGGTGACTTCCGGCTGACAGGACTTCCTGGTGGACTGGGGCTGAGGGAAAGAGCAGGGCCAAGAAGAACCCTAGCCATCTCGCTGGAGCAGTCAAGTGAGGAAGTTGTCGTTCCCTGAGATGCCAAAGATGTGTAAGCAAACACTGAGAAGCGGGACTCAGGGCTTTAGTTTAAAGCTACAGTTAGACACCTGTGTTCACTACTGAGCTCAAATGCGATGTCTGGAAATAGTTTTGTTTTGAATTGAACTTTTTTTTTATTTGAAAGTCAGAATTACAGAGTGTGTGTGTGTGTGTGTGTGGCAGAGAGAGAGAAAGAGAGAGGGATATCGTCTGTCCACTGGTTCACACCCCAAATCCCCAAATGGCCACAATGGCTAGGACTGGGCAAGGCCAAAGCCAGGAGCCTCCTCTGCGTCTCCCATGGAGGTTCAGGGGCCCAAGGACTTGGGCCATCTTCTGCTTCCCAGGCACATTAGGACTGGAAGTGATATCGGCCAGCTTGTTAGTAATTTTCAATACTGATAACCCTGTGGGTCCTTGTCACTTATTCAGAGAATTCTGAATACTGGCTCAGGTAGACCAGTCAGCATGGTAGGTTTTTAAGCTTTTTATTCAGTGAGAGAAATATGCAGGGAAGAGAGGGCTTTATTTAGGGGAGAAAGAGAAGTCTAGGAACTAAGATGGATCCTTATCAAGCAGAGAGCAGGCCAGGAGGGAGCCTCCTGGGGCAAGCGTATGCTTATGAGCTGCCACGGTAGCTGAGCATGAGTAGCAAAGGCAGAGAGCAGGCCAATAGGCCAGGCGCCCTGAAGGCCTAGGCCAGCAAGGGGAGGCCCACTGTGCCCCAGGCCTTTTATTTACTCCCAAGGGGGAGTGGTTACAGAGTCTGATTGGCAGGTGGGCCTACAGGTGGGGTCGGTAGGGGCTCGAGATCCCACAGGGGGCCGTGGTCTTCCAGCTCACAAATCTAATCCACTTTATCCTATCTGTCTGCCTGCCTACATCAGAAGTGGAACAGCTAGGACTGAACCTGCACCCATATGGGATGCCAGAGCTGCAGGAATGGCTTAACCCACTGAACCACCGGGCCAGTCCAAACTTGAACATTTTATTTTAGAATAGTTTTACACTTAGAAAACAAAAATTGTGAGGTAGCACTACAAAGACTGTTTTAAAATCTCATCCCTGTGTCTCTCTATCAGATACAAACTGACACCACTTCTCGTGTCTCTGACTTTAGGAAAGGCATCCTGGAGTAAGGGGGCATTGTCAGTTCCAGGCGCTCAGTTCCCAGACCGAGCTGACACCTGCCAGCCCTCTGAAGTCCAGGGTGAACGGCCCACAGACACATCCTAAGCCCTGAAAACTCAGCTCTCTTGCCCTAAAGTTCTCTGAATTCAAAGTGACTTGACCCTGAATTAGTTTAGTTACTGGCATCTCTGCTGTCCTGTACTGCACTCTTTCAAATTGGACGGAAATTTAGCTCCGTGCAAAGTGGGGGAAAAAAGAAAACCTTGCAGAAAGTCTTTGGGATTGCAGTGGATTTTATTCAAGACAGGAGATTTACACCGAGAATGTAAACAGCTAAGAATTGATATCAGCTTGTTCTCAAACATCCTGTTTTTGAAATTCAGACAGATGTATTCTTTCAAATTGCTCTGGCTTACTTTTTGTATTTTCTTTTCTCATTTTTTTTCCCAAGCAGAAAAAGAAATCTTTGTCTTTTGAAATTATTAAATGAGGATTTTTCTTCTCACTATTTTCAAGGAGAAATGTTAAGTGTCTGTTATCTAGCTCCACCCCTCTGCATATCCATGAATAGTATTCTGATTTTCAGAATTCGTAAAGCCATGTTTGATTAAGTTCTTTCAAAAGGACCATTGTCTAGCCCTGCCCAGTGAGCGGGAGTGGGCCTGGTTTCATTCTTCGTGAAGCCCAGAGTCCTGATGGAGGGAGGGCCTCACTCTCAGGGGCCTCCTGGGGCACTTTTCAGGGAAGATGATATCGGGGACAGAAACAGATCTCCCCCAGCTAGCAAATCTGAAAGTTGAGCTGGCGTTGGGGCAGCGGGGTTGGTTGGTATTGCTGTTTGTGACACCAGCATTCCACGTGGGAGTGCTGGTCCCAGTCCTGGCTGCTCCGCTTCCTATCCAGCTTCCTGTTAATGTACCTGGGGAGGCAGCAGATGAAGGCCCAAGTACTTGGGTCCCCTGCCACCTGTGTGGGAGACCAGGATGGAATTCCTGGCCCCTGATTCCACCTGGCCCCACCCTGGCTGTTGAGACCATTTGGGGAGTGAACCAGAGGATGAAAGATCTCTCTCTATCCCCACACCTCCATCACTCTGCCTTTCAAATAAGTAAGTAAGTAAATAAATAAATATTTTTGAAAAATTAAAGCTGAGGAGTTTTTAAATGCCAGGTCCTGGTGCTGGTGTTGTGGCACAGCACGTTAATTTGTCACCTGCAATACAGGCATCCCTTGTAGGCGCCGGTTCGAGTCACGGCTGCTCCACTGCCAGTCCAGCTCCCTGCTAGTGGCCTGGGAAAGAAGCAGAGGATGGCCCAGCTGCATGGAGTTCCAGGTTCCTGGCTTCAGCCTGGCCCACACCTGGCCGTTTCAGCCATTTAGGGGGAGAATGAGCCGATGGAAGATTCTCTCTCTCTCTCTCTCTCTCTTTCTCTCTCTCTCTCTCCCTCCCTCCCTTCCTCCCTCTCTCTCTCCTATTCCCTCTCCCTCTCCCTCTCCTTCTCCCTCTCCCTTCCTCTCTCTCTCTCTCTCTCCAACTCTGCCTTTCAAATAAGTAAAATAAATCCTTCCAAAGAAAAAAATCCTGAAAGGCTTCGGTTGCCACCCAGCCTGCTGCTTCTCTGTCTGTGCTGGGTGAAGACATCTCGCCTCTGATTGGTTCTTCCAGTTAGTCCTACTCCCAACTTCTATTTTCCAGAAATCTCTCTCTCTCTCTTGGCCATTAATTGTAACTTTCCTTGGTGTCTGCTACTCTGAATTTATTCTGATTTTCGTGCACCTACTGCTGTTTCACTGGCTTTGGGGAAGAGAACAGAAAGCCTATATGTGAACTCTTGAAGCAGCAGCTGCTCTCTAGATTATAAATACACAGGCGCTGTGATCTGGGAACTCCATTGCTCAGGCTAGACCCTGTGGCAAACGGCATTTTGCAAATGTGGTCGAAGCTATATCTCCCATCCCACGTGCTCTTCTGCAACAGTGACCTTATTTTTCTTATTTTCTTCTGGAAAATAAGGACTGAAACAACTTTAACAGATGAAGGTGAAGTAATTCGGTCATTTCTGAGCCATAGAGCAGTTCCTCCAAAGCCTTTAGAGGAAAGCCGTGCTCTTTCATTTTCAAGAGTGCTGCCACGCTCAACATCTGTTCTGACGTCCACAGAACCCATTCTGCAGTGGAGTCTTGGGACTGTGATGGCGCAAAGCGAGGTCAATAAATTATCTCCACATGTGGTAGATCTCAAAGCAGCAAAATGCCCCTGTGCCAACGATGTGGCGTTACTTGGCTTCATTTTGAATACCACATACAATGGTAAGTTTATGGCTTTATTGAATGTTGGAAGCAGTGTTCCCTATTTTATGACAGTGATCTTTAACTGACAAGGCAGCACATGGAAGTAGTGGGGAAAAGACTGCTTCCTCCAGAGGGCACTTGGCCTAGTAGTGGTCAGACACCAGTCAGAATGCCTGGGTTCAAGTCCCCACTCCACTCCAGATTCCAGCTTCCCTCTCCGTGGGGGCAGCAGGAGATAGGCCAGGCTTGGGTCCCTGTCACCCATGCGGGACATCTGGATTGAGTTCCCAGCTCCTGGATCCGGCTTGGCCCAGCACTGGCTGGGGCAGGCATAGGGGGTGAATCAGTGAAAGGGACTGAACCATTGAAACAGAGCGCTCTCTTTTTCTTTGTCTCTCAAAATAAATTAAAAATAATTAAAATTTAAAAAATTTTTCCTAAAAATATCTCAGAATGTACTCTTTGCCACTCTATTTTGTCTGCTGGCAAGTGTGATATACTAAGGAAATTCTTTTGCTATGATTTTTGCCATAGAATGACTTACGTATCTCTTCTAATTTTGTTTATCTTCTGCCCTCCATTAATATGTTACTTCCTCCCAGACACTTTTCATTGACTTGAATCCTCCATTCTCCTGCCATGCAGTATAGGTATTGTCGTCCCCAAGTACCCCATTACTTATTATGTATATTATGTATGTGTTTTTCTATTACTACTGTGATACCTCATAGATCTGTATAGGAAAGACGAATGTTGTTTCTGCACTCTCATTCACAACACTTGTGACACCAACTGTATGGCTTTCCACACAAAACCGTTCTCCAGGTCTCTGAAGAGCCCCAGTGGGTGTCCTGTTTGCATTCAGTTCTGGCCTGGCCACCTGGAGTTAGCCCAGATCCTGGCAGGTTAGGGGCTCAGTCCTACAAGACCACCTCCCATTTCAGATGCCAGTCCCAGTCCCAGGTGTGATCTGCACTCCTAGCTAACCAGCTATGATCAGGGGATCCCACAACACCCTCCTTGGGCTCAAGAACTTGCGAGAAGAGCTCAACAGAACTCGGGGAAGCATCCACTTATATTTATCAGTTTATTATAAAGGCCATTGCAGAGGATGCAAATGAACAGTTAGATGAAGACGAACTCTAAAAGGGTCCCAAGGGGCCAGCGCCATGGCTCAGTTGGTTAATCCTCCGCCTGCGGCACCAGCATCCCATATGGGCGCCAGTTCTAGTCCCGGCTGCTCCTCTTCCAGTCCAGCTCTCTGCTGTGGCCCGGGAGGGCAGTGGAGGATGGGCCAGGTGCTTGGGCCCCTGCACCCACATGGGAGACCAGGAGGAAGCACCTGGCTCCTGGCTTCGGATCAGCACAGCGCCGGCAGTGGTGGCCATTTGGGGGGTGAACCAACGGAAGAAAGACCTTTCTCTCTCTCTCTCTCTCTCTCTCGCTCGCTCGCTGTTTAACTCTGTCAAAAAAAAAAAAAAAAAAAAAAAAAAAGGAGCACTTCTGTCCCCACCGAGGTGCAGTTCACCACTCCCAGCACACGAATGTGTTTATCACCCTGGAAGTACTCCAAGACCTGTACGTTGGAGATTTTTATAGTGGTTTTCATCACATCAGCAAGATAAATTATTAACTCGATCTCCAGCTCCTCTCCCCTTCCTAGAGGAAAAGGTGTGGATCTGAAAGCTCTAACTTTGTAAAGGTTGTTTAGTCTTTCTGATGGGCAGTTCCCATCCTAAAGCTATCCAGGAGCGCTCCTTAAAACAAAAGATACTCCAGGGCCAGCGCTGTGGCTTAGCTGGTAAAGCCGCCTCCTGCAGTGCTGGCATCCCATATGGGCACCGGTTCTAGTCCCGGCTGCTCCACTCTGATCCAGCTCTCTGCTGTGGCCTGGGAAAGCATAGAAGATGGCCCAAGTCCTTGGGCCCTGCATTCTCATGGGAGACCCGAAGAAGCTCCTGGCCCCTGGCTTCGGATCAGTGCAGCTCTGGCCCATTGTGGCCATCTGGGGAGTGGACCAGCAGATAGAAGACATTCTCTCTCTCTCTCTCTCTCTCTCTGCCTCTGCCTCTCTCTAACTCTGCCTTTCAAATAAATAAATAAATCTTTAAAAAAATATCCTCCTATCATCCAGGAAATCCTAGGGGAGTTAGTAGCTCTGTCTCAAAACTGAAGCCACAGGCCAGACGTTGCCATCGAGGTGTCCCTAGCACCCAGCTCATGAGGGAAATTAGAAGGGTTTTAGGAGCTCTGTGTTGGGAACCAGGGACAAAGACCAAATATGCAATTTTATTATATCAATTCACAATGTCATAGCATCATTATCTTCCAATGACTAATTGTACTATTCTAATTGTTTTTCTTATTGATTTCCTGGTCCCCAAATCCAATGAATATTGAGATAAAAAAAAAGAAAAAATAGATCTAAAAATAAGAAACAAAATATTAAAAAAATTAGAGGTTTATTTACTTATATGAAAGGCACAGTTACCGAGAGAGAAAAGGAAAGAGAAAGATCTTCCATCCTCTGATTCACTCCTCAGATGACTCCCACAGTGCCTGGGGCTGGGCCAGGCCAAAGCCAGGAACCAGGAGTTTCTTCTGGGTCTTACACGAGGGTGGCAGGGGCCCAAGCACTTGAGCCATCTTCTGCTGCTTTTCCAGATGCATTAACAGGACGCTGGATCAGAAGTGGAGCAGCCAGGACATGAACTGGCACCCATATGGGATTCTGGTGTCACAGATGGCAGATTAACCCGCTATGCCACAAAGCTGGCCCCAAAACAATTTTTTTTACTCATAGATAATATTTGTATCTATGTAAAATTCCAAAAATATCTACAGAAAAAATTGTCAGAAAAAATATGGGAGGCTGTGGAATATAAGAATAATATATAGAAACCACCCCACCAAAGACTCACTCAAGATGATAATTCTGATAGCACTACTCTTAACAAATCCCAAAAGATAGGATTTTTTTTAATAGGGGATTTCAAGGCTTTGTGTATAGAGATTATAAAAGTCTAACTAGGGGGGCCGGTGCTGTGGTGTAGCTGGTGAAGCCACCGCCTGCAGTGCCGGCATCCCATGTGGGCTCCGGTTCAAGTCCCTGCTGCTCCACTTCTGATCCAGCTCTCTGCTGTGGCCCGGGAAGGCAGTGGAGGATGGCCCAGGTCCTTGGGCCCCTGCACCCACATGGGAGACCCGGAGGAAGCTCCTGGCATTGGGATAGCTCCAGCTGTTGCGGCCACCTGGGGAGTGAACCAGCAGATGGAAGGCCGGCCTCTTTCTCTCGCTATCTCTCCCACTCTGCCTCTGCCTCTCTGTAACTCTGCCTTTCTTTTTTTTTTCCTTTTTTTTTTCTTTTTTTTTTAAGATTTATTTATTTATTTGAAAGTCAGAGTTACACAGAGCGAGGAGAGGCAGGGAGAGAGAGGTCTTCTATCTGCTGCTTCACTCCCCAGTTGGCCTCAATGGCTGGAGCTGTGCCGATCTGAAGCCAGGAGCCAGGCTGTGGCATAGTGGGTGAAGGCGCCACCTGCAGTGCTGGCATCCCGCGTGGGAGACCCAGAAGAAGCTCCTGGCTTCGGATCGGCTCAGGCCTGGCCGTTGTGGCCTATTGGGGAGTGAACCATTTGATGGAAGACCTCTCTCCTTCTCTCTGTGTGTAACCCTGACTGTCAAATAAATAAATAAATCTAAAAAAAAAAAAAATTCTTCCAGTCTGGTGGTAGTGATGTCACCTGTGTTGCTGGGCTAACTGCTCCATTAAGTCCAAACTGTTCAACTGTCTGGTTTAGATTTCCTCTCGATGCCTCAGGGGCATCTCAAATATAAGTCTGATACAGAGCTCTTGATTCAGCTCCCTCTAAAATCTGTTCCCCTTCGGTGTTCCTCATTCCAGTTAGTATCCAGTTGGTCAAAACTAAATCCAGGATACATTTCTTCGAAAGGCAGAGAGAGCGCCTGTCTGCTAGTTCACTTCCCAAATGTCCTTCCATTGTAACCAAAGCTGGGAGCTGGGAACACCATCGAGGACACCCACATGGCTGGCAGGAGCCCGATTCCTTGAGTCATCGCTGCTACCTTCCAGGATCTGTGTTAGCAGGAAGCTGGAACCAGGAGCTGGAAACAAGTATCGAACCCAGGCACTGCTGTTTGTGATGCACGTGTCTTTACCACGAGTCCAAACACCCATTCCACAGGACATATTGCTGCCTGATCTTACTCTTACAACATTCCAGAATGATGCCATCTCCAGGGTCCGTCCCCAGTGTGACCACTTCCCTCTGATAAGATCTTTTAAAAAATTTTTTTAAAGATTTATTTATGTGAAAGGCAGAGTTAGAGGGAGAGACAGAGAGATCTTCCATCTGCTTGTTCACTCCCCAGGGGCCAGGCCGAAGCAGGAGCTTCATTCAGATCTCCCACGTAGGTGACAGTAGCCCAGGATTGTGCCACCTTCCACTGCTTTCCCAGGCCATTAGCAGGGAGCTGGATTGGAAGTGGAGCAGCCGGGACTCGAACTGGCACCCATATGGGATGCTGGCATTGCAGGTGGCGGCTTTACCTGCTATAGCACAACGCTGACCCCCTCTGATAAGACCATAAGTCGAGTCAACATTGTTTTTCTACTAGACTAGATCCCAGCATCTCAAGGGGTCTCCCTATTTTGTTTTGTTTTGTTTTTTCTTGCCCCAACATAACCCAACCTCCATAGAGCCAACAGAGTGATCGTCTCAAGTATAGACCAGTACACATCGCCCTGCTGCTTCAAATTCCCCCGGGCCGTTAGGACAAAGACCAAACTCTTCACAATGGTCAACAGCAGCTTTATCCCTGGGGACACAATTGTGGACAGTTGTCATAGAGAGCGACCTGAAAGTTCACCTTAGTCTAAAAATATTAACCAGCATGAAGTGTTTATGTCATTGCTTATTTCTCATTACCTAGTTCTAAACTTTGTAAGAGTTTGGTCACGTGACATTATCCTGGATACTCCTTATTCCCACCTAGATATTCCACTATTACCTGTAAAACTAGACTAATACTGAGAAAACAAAGCTTATCTGTAGCTTTTTTCTTCCTGGAACAAGTCTTGGCTGTTGTCTTAAGCACTAGCAAAGTACCTGCCCCACAGTTTTTATTAATATTTACATGCCTGGGCCTCTCAGAAAAGAAGTGAAACTGAGTTAGGTCTGGGAGTTTACGTATCACTGTGATAAGGGAAAGGGGTTGGACTTCCGGGACAGTCAGCTGTGAGTGACGCGGGAACCCATGGCAGAACCGTGGAAGACAAGGCCATTTTCATGAGATCTGCTCATGCAAACTGGTCTCTGGGTCCCCTCCCCATCTCCAGTGACAGAATCACTCTTCTTTTCCTGGTACAAGGGACAATTCATGCCCTGCTTTTAGGCTAAGAAAGGGCAGCCGCACCTACATCTGCTGATTCTCAGTTGTCTTCAGATCGTCATAATCCTTGAGCCAGAGTGGCACATCTGGGGACAGCATTTTCTGATCCCCTCTAATGTAAAACAAAATAATAATAATCAAGTACATCACGAAAGCCGTTTTAATAGGATCAGCCAGTACCGTCAGAGGGTCTATATGAAGGGTGTTCCCAGAGGTAACTGTTCCAGGAGTTCATCAAGTGGCTGCCAGAACTGATGCTGACACCTGAAATTATTTCTTCTGCCCAGTGCGTGGGAGGTGAACTCCAAACCCCAAGGAGGAGAGATGCGGTGCAGGAGGAGAATGGGTTAGAAAGTGGAGCGGATTCAGACTCTTGCCCCTAAAGGCATCCCTCATAGGAGTGAGTGACTAACTCTGTAAAGGTGCTGGGCCTAATTTTTCCTTTTCTTTTATGGCAGGTGTTTACATAGGCCTAAGTTTTTCTGGATTTTGGAATTATCATGATACCAAATGGTATGACATGACAGATACTATCTATTCCCAACTTCGAGAAGGTATTTCCTCTAACAGTGCTCTCTCCTCAGCGTTTCACGTATATCAGCATTTGATTAATGTGTACAAATTGTCCTTGCTTTGCTAAGGAACTCATTGCTTTTTCTTAGTCTTTAACCCATGGTATGCTTTCTTCCTTTAGAACACACAGACCTTACACTGATAGATATGGCTTTAACCAATCATTTTTTAGTTATCCTTACCTCCTTGGGTCTTTTTATAAGTGAAGATCTTCGTTATCCAACACCCCAACACTTACAGGTATGTAAATTGCTTTGTAACTAATAGTCAACCATAAATATCTTCTGTGATGTAAAAAAATAGTATTTAAGTTATATGTGACATATTTTAAATTGAAATCCTTCTTCCTTTTTGGAAAAAAAAGGAAAAGTAAAATAGCATCTCTATTTTTTGCCTTATAGTATTGAATATATACCTTAGAAATGATGTTCGTTTTATTGCTGTACCAATTTATTGTAAGTTTTAAATGTGTACATGTAAAAATATTTTGTAACTACCTATTTGTCTATATACATTCCACCAAGTATTTAAGGTAATTTAAAAAGCTTCATATAATAATACAAAGTAAGTCAAATTTTGAAAGTAAGTGTTGGGATTGAGGGAAAGGGAATACACCTCTAGGTCAGGATAGCCAATCTGCATACATGTGAATACCCGCTTCCCAAAAGTCATGGCAACAGAGATAAGACCCGGAAGAGAGATTTGGGTGACAAGAGCAATTGTGTTGGCTGAGAAGTGGCTGTTTCTGATCATGGGAGTCATTATCTTTCTTCAGGGAGATCACTGTTCACTCTTTCCGATCATCCCTGAGAAAATGCCATTTGTGGCCCAGACTGCTAAAAGGCCTGGCCCCCCTCGTGCTTCTCATGTAATTGCTAACACCCAGAAGGCTACGCGGCTTGTGTCAAAGCACAGAGAGGCAGACACGGTGATCTCTAGACTGCACCAGGCTGCACAGAAGACACAAAGCCGCTTCCCTAAAGCCCAAGTGGGTGGCAGACTTAGCATCTTCCTGCACGCATCTGAGTGCTTCCTTTTAAACCATTAAAAGGTGTGGTTTCCATCTCAAATCCTTTCTGGAATTCCATTAAGCTATAAATGAATTAATAAAATGTGAAGCTTGTCGAAGACTGAAGGGGGAACTCTCTCGTCTATCATGTCAGCAACCAGAGGCTGCTTTTAGGATCTGACCACCCTAACTGCTACAATAGAGAAAACATAACTACCTTTGGTAGAGTTTAATTGTAATATTTTGTTATGCCTTCTGATAGGCAAGCAAAAATTACAGTTTCTTTTTTTTTTCTTCTAGCTTTCAAGGGCAGACTTTTGTGGTTTTGAAAGGGTAAGAAGCTTTCGATTTCCAAAGGTTGATTAAAAGATGTGTGTTTACATGGTGACTGAGGGGATGAGCTGCAGCACAGTTACAGTATAGATTTCTTCTGTTACTAAAACGCAGTTTAAACTAAAAAAAAAAAAAAGTTATTTCCACCAGTCGCTAAGCAGCGATCTCTCGTTTCAAAGGGAGAGGTGCCCTACCCTGCCCTGTCTCAGAGCCACGTCTGCCCAGTCACGTGTGCTCTGTCCAGGCTGCCTTTGGTTGTTTAACAAAGGACATCCAGTTGGAGAAGAGGGCTGGAATCCGTCTGAAATCCTTACTCCTGGTCCACCTGTCCTGGTGTGGGTCTGTGCCTACCAAGACCAGAGGGTCCTTTCTCTAATGCGCACAAAGGTGCCGTATGCACTAACCCCACCCCTGCTGCAGGCCTCTGAGGATCTTGGTTCACCAATTATCCCCCCTCTCCCTGGTTAAAAAGACAAGGTTTGCCATTCAGTGAAGTCATTCCTAGCAACATACAAGCACGCTCTGATTTGAAAATCGCCAGCAGAATCGTTTTCCCAGCCGTCTGTGTGCCCCTCCTCACAGAGGCCTGCGCCGTGCCCCGGGCTCGCACCGCCCACCTGGGAGCAGCACCTGCTTCTCAGGGAGCAAACAGAGCTGGCGCAAGGTGCTGCTCATCAGAGCGTCAGGAGTGAAGCAGAGACCTGGAACAGCCAGAGAGACAAAACCAAGTTGCATTCAAAAGAGCAGAGGAAACACAGTGGGCTCTCTGCACCCATGGGTTACATGTCCATGAATTCAACCGACCCTGGATCAAATGTACTTTACAAACAAAGTATTGTGTTTGAACTAAACATACAGAATTTCTTTTCCTGTCATTATTCCCTAAACAATAGGGCATAGCAACTGTTTACAAAGCATTTACATTGTACTAGGTATCCTAAGTGTTCTTGAGATTATTTAAATTGTACATGTAGGATAGGGGGCATTTGGGGAAGTGGTTAAGAGGCTGGAACACTCACATCCATATAGGAGTGCCTGGGTTCGAGGCCTGGCTCTGCTCTTCATTCTAGCGTCCTGCTAACAGTGCACCCTGGGAGGCAGGGAAGCCTCGGCTGGGTCTGCGGTAAGAGGCAGACATCCTGGAAGGCGGAGGGCACTTCCTGTCTCTATCAGCCCAGTTATGCCCAACGTGAGGCCCTCTCATATGAACATATACTAAAGAAGCTGCTGGGAGGCACCAACCGGACAAGAGCAACAGCATTTAATTAATAAAGTCAGTGCCTGCTGTGGCTACTCGCCTCAGTACTGGAAGATTAGCAAGAGTCAGCACCTGTCGGGAGGTTCAAGTGCAGCAGAAAACACTTCAGGTTCCAAAACTGCCAATCAAAAAGGGAATAAAGTGAAGAATGAAGAGCCACTGCTTAGATGGAGACTAACGGCGTGGAAGCTCCAGATGAAGAAAGATCTGAAACCTTCCAGGGAAAGTAGGCGGGAGTCATGAAGACGCTAACAAGCCTTTGAGGAGAGAGCCGAGTGGTCCAACAGGTGCGGGATAGAGTGTTCAGACAGAATAAAAAGGGAACAGAGACAGGAGAGGCGATAATAAAACAAATCACAGAAGAAAATGACACTGACCTTAAGAGCGAGCCAAGGCTGTACAAGAAGAAGGCCCACCAATCCCTGGGAAGACGGGGAAATAAAAGTACACATAGACACATCCAAGTAACATTCTTGAACTGGAAGGTTAAGGGGAACATCACAGGTTTCCAAAAAGCAAAACGCACCCCACTGGTTTCAGCTTTCACTTACACAACTGCAGAGATTCAGAGACAATGACATAAACATCCAGAGACTATTAAAACAAGAGCCGAAGGCTGGAATCCCCTTTCCAGCCAAGAGCTTGTTCAGTTTCAGATGAAGAAAGAATTTAGAGAGTGTATGACCCAGTTATCCCAACTGATGAAAATACTCAACCAAGACTAACGAAATACACAAGTGAAAACAGAAATTTCAATAAAAGGGGAAATACACAGAAGAGGAAGCAGAGCCATTTTGGCTGTTTTTCTCATTTTATCTAATATCTACTGAATCATCTAATATGTATTTTCTCTGTGTTATATGTGGGATATGCGTTCGGATGATGGACATCCTCCAAAGGCCCATGTGTTAAAGGCTTGGTCCCCAAAGTCTTATGTTAATGGCACTCAGACAGTGGAAACGTAACCCAGTGGTGGTGTTTAGAAGTGGACCTTCAGGGTGTGATTGGATTGGCTTAGGTTGTTGGGGTGAAGCCTGGGGTCTTTAGGGTCAAGTCCTGGGGTCTTTGGGAGGTGAGACACCGACCTATGTCATGCTTGATGCCACGCTGATACATGGCCAGCACCAGAGGCTGAGCCACCGGGGCCTGCCTGAGCTTGGACTGTGGGCCTCCACAATAAACCTTCTCTCCTCATGAGTAGCTTGTCAGAGGAATTCCATTAAGGCAGTGAAAGCTGCCCAACGCACTGTGTATCTGTATAAACCAAAGTGGACCACCACGCAGGGGATCTTGAAATGGAAATGTCTTAGTCTACTTGGGTTTATTTAATAAAATTTCCATAGGTTGAGTGGCTTATAAAGAACAGAAATTTACTGCTTACAGTTCTGGAGGCCAAGAAGTGCAAGACCAAGATACCAGTGGAGGTAGGGTCTGGTGAGAATTGTTTCCTGCTTGTAGACAGCTGTGGCCTTATGTGGCAGAGGGACAAGGGATCTCTCTAGATTCTCTTTTATAGGGAAGCTAATTCCACTCATTTAATCACCTACCAATGAAATAAACACACTAATTCCACTCACCTTCCAAAGGTGTCACCTCCAAATACTATAACCTTGAGGTAGAGAAACATTCTATCTATAGGAAGAAAGTCATGATGCCAGGGAATTGAGAGTTTTTAACATCTAAAAATCACTATTTTCAAGCAGGTGTGCATCTATGTAGTTAAAAAACAGAAACATGTGAGGATGTCCAGAGAAGTCCCATGCATTCTTTTATATAAACTCACTCTGCTTTCTCCTGTCCCTTATAAGTTACATTATGGGTAACCATTACCTTATAGGTTACATTTTTAGTGTTTCTAATGTAAATTCAACTATTATGCATATATATTCTTTTCCTCATTTTATTACTAGTACATACTTTATTGTATCATGGTATGTGTAAATATATCATGGAAAAAAGCTTCTATCTTAGTACAGAGAAACTGGCCTTATTTTTCATTTCCTTGTTACAGCTGCAAGTATTCCATTGTGTGGACTTATCAGAGCTTATTTAACTTGTCTCCTATTGATGGATGCTTGTGTAATTTTCCAATCCTTTGCTATTACAAACAATGCTGCCATTATTAATGTTGTACCAGGCAATTTTATGTGTCCAAGTACATTGGTAGATACATTCCTAGAACTTGGAATGGGAGATCAAGGGGTAAATGTTTATGCAGTAGTAAAATATAATCACATGGCCCTTCTTAGAGGTTTTTACCATGTGTGTGGATAGTATAATAAATTCAGCTGAATAAAAACATCTCAGCAAAACCCAGGGATGGTTGGAAGTAATGGGAGAAAGTTGAAATACAAGTGTTCCAAAGGTAGAGAAGTATGAAAATATAACCACTTACCTTTGGATAAGAACTCTTGTCATGGTTGTATAGCACTGGGCAGGCGGTTGAAGGAGTTGATACTTGACTTATTTATCCATTCAGCCAACACGCTGAGTACTCCCTTCATCCCATTATTGTTCAAACAAGGAGGATTCCATACTGAACAAGACAAAGCCACAGTCCTCTCAGGTAGCGTACCCTTCTACTGAGGGAGTTAGACCAGAAACAAGCACACAAAACGAATTCACACTACGATTTCAGATAGTGACGAGTGCTTGGTGAAACTGAAGAAGGATGCAAGGAACGGAGTGGAAGGAAAATGTACCGCTTTAGAGGGTGATCATAGCAGATCCCTCCGCAGAAGTGGACTCTCAGGAGAAAGCTGATGGCGTGAATGAATGATTCTGACAAAACAAGTCCAGAGACGCGGTAAGAAGTACCAAACTCGAAACTGGGGACAAGGCATGAGGCAAAACCTGTTAGCAATGCACCAGATCTGTTTAGTGGAAATAACAGAGACCATGGGGCCCTTCTGTAAGGATACACTTCAATTCCTGTGACACAAAATCCTCCGTGGTCAGAACACTCCTGACCCTGCAGGTGAACATTCCCGCCGCTCACCCCAGCCACACTGTGGAGACGGCTCACCTCCCCTGCGTCGCCTGCACTCCTCACACCCCGCATCTTTTGCGTGACGTGTTTTGCATCGCGCCCTCCTGCTCCTCTGGTTCACTGAGCGAGTTCTCCTTCAGGAATCCTCCGAGGCCACCTGAGTAGCCTCACGAGACAAAGTTCTAGGTCAAGGGCTACCTCATGTACACGATGCTAGTAGGTTACCACACTGCCTGTGTGTGGGCAGTCTTGATCAAGTGTGAATGAAGGAAGACGGGCTGGATTCAAACCCTGGCCCTCTTACTAGCCAGGACATGTAACTCTGAACAGGTTGCATAGTGCCTATCTCCTCACAGGCAATGTGTGAAGAGAACAAGTGTAACATCAAGAATTCCAGATGTGAGGAGGAGTGGAGCACAGATGTACAGTGCCTCAGTAGGGTTTCTATCTCTTTGATTTTGTTGGCCTCTTTTCCTATTTTTATAATCAGTGTTGTTATCATTTCAGGATAGTTTATTATAGCCAAAGACTTTTTTATAAGGCTCAAGGTAACCAGAAAGCAAAGTTTATACACAGAATTAGCAAAAATAATAAACAAAGAATCAAAGGATACCACTAGAGAACATCACTGAACTGCAAATTCAGATTGAATTTAGGGACAAAAAAGAAGAAAGGGACTACAATAAAAATACAAAACCAGAATCAAATGGCAACAATGAGGCCTTACCTATCAATAATTTTATTAAGTGTCAATGGGCTAAATTCTCCAATAAAAAGACATAGCAGGCCTACATTGTGGGGGAGTGGGTAAAACCACCGCCTGCAATGCCAGCATCCCATATAGGGACCCATTCAGTTCATGTCCTGGCTGTTCCACTTCTGATCTAACTCCATGCTAATGGCCTGGGAAAAGCAATAGAAAATGACTCAGCGGGTGCCACGGCTCACTTGGCTAATCCTCCACCTGTGGTGCCGGCACCCTGGGTTCTAGTCCTGGTTGGGGTGCTGGATTCTGTCCCAGTTGCTCCTCTTCCAGTCCAGCTCTCTGCTGTGGCCCGGGAAGGCAGTGGAGGATGGCCCAAGTCCTTGGGCCCTGCACCCGCATGGGAGACCAGGAAGAAGCACCTGACTTCTGGCTTCGGATCGGCTCAGCATGCCGGCCATAGCGGCCATTTAGGGGGTGAACCAACAGATGGCAGACCTTTCTCTCTGTCTATCTGTCTGTCTCTCTCTCTCTCTGTCTAACTCTGCCTGTCCAAAAAAAAAAAAAAAAAATGACCCAAGTGCTTGTGCTCTGCCATCCATGTGGAAGACCCAGATGAATTTCCTGGCTCCTGATTTCAGTCTGGCCCAGTTCTGGCCACTACAGACATCTGGGGAGTGAACCAACTGATGGATGATATCTCTCTCTCTCCCCCCCCCCCAATTCAAACAAATAAGTAAATCTTATAAAACAAATGGATTAATGACCAAATGGATTAATGAACAGGACCCAACTATATGCTGTTTACAAGAAATTCACTTCACTTCTAAGGACACACATAGATTGAAAGTGAAGAGATGGGACAAGATACTGCAAACAGAACTCAAAAGAAAGCAGGAACAGCCATATTCATATATGATAAAACAGATTTTAAGCCTGCGCCACGGCTCAACAGGCTAATCCTCCGCCTTGTATCCTATAACATCATGTGGCAAACCCCAAATATACACAATAAAATTTATTTTACTAAAGAATAAAATAATGATTGGATTCTCTCCCCCACACAAGGAGGGACTTTTTGAACACAAACAGCAAAGCCAAACTAAAGGAGTTTAAGTGGTGAGTCTGGCTTCCCGGCAAGGCTGGGTTCTGCATCACCTATCTGCAGGACTCTGTCTACCCAGCTCTGGTTCTGCTCTCCTCCGTGTTAGCGTCATTCGCAGTAGTTTTTCTCTAGACTATTTCTCTAGGAATAGTCACCAGGTTCACACACACAAAGTTTTCAACCCCAGCAGAATTCTCTTCCCCCGTAGTTCCAGGTCTCAGGACTGATTCTCGTGAACTCAGGTTGAGTCATATGTGTGCACCTAACCAGTCCTGTGGTTCTCAAAGCCTGGATCAAGTCTCATCCTTGGGATGGGGTCACCCGGCTGAACTAAATTACCTTGAAGGACCATCACTGAGCTATTACCAATTTGACTCCAGGTAGGAATTTAAAAACCAAGAAGAATCTAGAAAGAAGAAATAGGAATAGTTCAGGGCCCAGTAAAGACTGTATGTTAATTGCCCAAATATTATAATGAATTGTGCTAACCTGAAGATTTATAGAATTCAAACAGTGCATTTGATGTACAGCTTAGCATGAAGATACCACCTTTCAAATAAATTGTCCATTCCATTTAAAAAAAAAATTTGTAAGGGTGTGTGTGTTTAGCTGTTTCAATGTGATGTAATTCACAAATCATGAACTTTACCCACTTAAAATCTACAGTTCTGTGGACTTCATTCAGTATTCATCAAGTTGTATATCCATCAACAGCCATCCATTTTAGAACATTAAAAAGGCTTCTAGGCACTGAGCGTGCAGATTTTATTTCTGGTCAGCGGAGGTGTAAGAAGGTCTTCTTGATGTTTCAAGAACGAGTTGAAACTCGGGTCTCCCTGTCACAAAACCATCGGGAGCTCTTCCAGCACACACAATCCTGCTTCCTTTGACGCTTCTCCCAGACGGCCGATTTTCAGATGCTTTTCCTGTTGCTTCTTGCTGCCACCAGCCCTCCGCGAAGGCTGCAGCTGATAAGGCAGCGAGGAGAAACAGGACCCACCGGTCCGCGGTGAAAGGCTGGGAGTCCCGGCTGCTTCAGAAAGAGCTCCTGGGCGAGGCCTCTTCCGCTGACACTTGCTAGTTCACGTGCAGTTTCTTCTGTTTGTGTCCCTTTTCTGTGTTGTCCCAAGATGTAAAAATGTTGTTTCTTGTCCTTATTCAGCCACCTTTTATTTGCGTGGAGTGTCCCCTCTTTATTTGCCTCCACGTCCCTGAATTAGCGAACTTAGATTCTACTTGGTGAGCTTTTTCTATTTTGTATCTTAAGTCTGTGTGTTGCCTAAGTGGGACTTTGTGTGTCTCGTTATGCAGGTCGACTATGTTAAAGGAAAACTGTGGTACAATGAAAGATGTTTTGCTAACAGAGAACACTTTGAAGGTAAATTTTACTTCAAGTTATATTAACAGGCTTTTATCAATATAGATAACATGTGCAGATTACATGAAATGACATAAAAATAGAACAAAGTATAACATTTTAGATGAGTTAATAGCTTGAAACTGAGAAGAAAAAAATCTAAATCTCAGACAGATTGGCACACCTGCAAGAAAACTGTACTGAGTAAATATTAATCGATGAAACACAACTTCTGTTATTTTTATGAGGATTTTTTATTAACACTAACCCTCCTGGTTTGAGAAATATCGACGTGACTCTTCATCTCTGTCCTCTCTCTTTTACAGTGGATTACGTTACTGTCACCTTTGACAGGAACCGAACCCTCAGTGAGGTATGCCATTGAATATTTTAAAAGGTGAGACGCGTTCTGGTGAATGACTCCCTGGACTGTTGTTGGTTGAAACAGCAGCTGTTTTGCAGACTGAAAGCTGTAACAGTGACTTAGCCCCCAGTGTTGTCTCTACTTGGGCTTCACAGGAGCTCCCTGATTGTGTTAAACTGGGACCCACACAGTGATTCTAGCAAACAGGTCACACCAGGGAGACACGCATTGCAATGTCTCTAAACCCACATGCCCCAGAAGAGAGACACTCGAGATTTCAAAGTGTGGTTTTTGGTCAGGCAGGACAGCGCGACAGCTCCTGAGGGAACTGATTAGGACTTCTAATTCAAAACAAGCGTTAACTTTTACTTTCCCTTTTTTGTAGTCAAGTGCCTGTTTTTATAGTAAAGAACCATTTCTTGAATGGCAGCCTTGCTTACCTCACATTTTAAAAGGAGTGAAAAGCGCCCCTTCAAGTGTCATCACCTTTCTTGTTGACCAAGAGCGTGACACTGGAGTCTACCTCTTCCATAACCGGGTAGGTCTTATGGAGTCCACCTCTTCCATGACCGGGTGGGTCTTATGGAGTCCACCTCTTCCATGACCGGGTGGGTCTTAGGTCCCACAGGTGATTGCTCTCAACACTGCAACAGTGAAAATGCACCTTAGCAGCAGGTATTTCCAAGTTTGCTAAGAACCTGGTGAAAATGCCCATCAGAAGATTATTTAAGGTTAGTAATATCGTTCGACACTTCGGCATTTTCCCACCTCTGACTGTCGTCTGGTTTGAGGAAAATGGAAAGCGTGATACTGTTTGCACAGCGATTCTCCCTTACTGCTTCTCCAGGAAAATAGAAGCTGAGTTTTTCTACATAAGTTTAAGTTTCCATAGAATGTTCAGTTACATTGAACAAAAAAGTAACTCATTTTCACAGATCCATATTTTCTATTCCAAATGCCCTTGATCCTATCTATGAATTAGAATTATTCTAAGAATAATTTTTTTTTTGACAGGCAGAGTGGACAGTGAGAGAGAGAGACAGAGAGAAAGGTCTTCCTTTGCCGTTGGTTCACCCTCCAATGGCCACCGCAGCCAGCGCGCTGTGGCCGGCACACCGTGCTGATCCGAAGCCAGGAGCCAGGTACTTATCCTGGTCTCCCATGGGGTGCAGGGCCCAAGCACTTGGGCCATCCTCCACTGCACTCCCTGGCCACAGCAGAGAGCTGGCCTGGAAGAGGGGCAACCGGGACAGAATCTAGTGCCCCGACCGGGACTAGAACCCGGTGTGCCGGCACCGCAAGGCGGAGGATTAGCCTTTTGAGCCACGGCGCCGGCCCTAAGAATCATTTTTAAAAATTACAAAAAGTTCAGCTCCCACCCTCAAGATTGCAGGGGAGAGGGGCTGGTGCTGAGGTGTAGTGGGTTAAGCTGCAGCCTGCAGTGTTGGCACCCCATATGGGCATCGGTTCAAGTCCCCACTGCTCCACTTCCAATCCAGCTCCCTGTAATGTGCCTGAGAAAGCAATGGAGAATAGCCCAAGTGCACCCAAATGGGAGACCCAGAAGAAGCTTCTGGCTCCTGGCTTCAACCTGGCCCATCCCTAGCTGTTGTAGCCATTTGGGGAATAAACCAACAGTTGGAAGATCTCACTCTCTTGCTATAATTCTGCCTTTCAAACACATAAATATTAAAGAAAAAGACTGTAGGGAAGGGAGAAAACTTCCAGCATAATAGTTATGAGCATGGGCGTTGGCTTCTGCCTGCCAAGCTCAGTAATAACTCTGCCATAAATCTCTGCCATCTATTATACAACTGTGAACAAATTATCTAATCTCCTACGCTTCATTTTCAACACCTGGAAGGCGAGTGGGGGGGGAGCAGTGGAGTAGAGAGAGAGTCATTATCCCTGCTCCTTCCGGGTCTGTGCTGTGTTCACGTCTGTGTCCCTATCATAGTCAAAAACTGAGTGGCTGGCGCCGCGGCTCACTAGGCTAATCCTCCACCTGCGGCACCGGCACCCTGAGTTCTAGTCCCGGTTGGGGCGCCGGATTCTTTCCCGGTTGCCCCTCTTCCAGGCCAGCTCTCTGCTGTGGCCCGGGAAGGCAGTGGAGGATGGCCCAAGTGCTTGGGCCCTGCACCCACGGGAGACCAGGAGGAAGCACCTGGCTCCTGGCTTCAGATCAGTGTGGTACGCCGGCCGCAGCAGCCACTGGGGGGTGAACCAACGGCAAAGGAAGACCTTTCTCTCTGTCTCTCTTTCTCACTGTCCACTCTGCCTGTCAAAAAAAAAAAAAAAAAAAAAAAAAAAAAAAAAACTGGCCGGCGCCGCGGCTCACTAGGCTAAACGGCAAAAAGAAGACCTTTGCTCTCTGTCTCTCTTTCTCACTGTCCACTCTGCCTGTCAAAAAAAAAAAAAAAAAAAAAAAAAAACTGAGTGACAGGGAAGGCTAAGGACTGTAACGTGGCCTAATAATGATTGAAAAATTCTCGTGACACGCTCCTTCTCTTTAAATCTAGATCCAGAACATCGCTACTGCCTCCGTGAACATCCTAAACAATAGCAAGCCAAATCTGCTCCCGAAATTCCCACTCTTCCAGTTTCCTTCCTCATTCTCTTCTCCCGTGGGAATGATATTCCATCCCCGAAGTCACTTTCTGTACGCCTATGGCAATCAGGTATGTACGCAGAAGGTGCCACCTGGGGCACAGGGAAATTCACCCATGTGTTCTATACTGAGCGGTTGTGCGCAAGGACAGAGGCCCCGCCCAATGATGGAGGCAGTGGAAATGGGAGGAAAACAATGAATAGTTACTGACTGTTGGTGCAAAACTTTCAGTGAGTGCTTTGGCTGATAAAATGAGTTACCTTGAATTATTTTGCCAACTATAATACAGTTCTCACAACTCTAACCTAATCTTTGCCATTAATCCGTTACAAGTGTGTTTCTGTCTGGTATTTCCGGCATGTAATGTCTGATTTTCTTTCTTTGACTTTGCCTAAGCTTGGTTTTCTAGCTATGCTGTTCTTAAAGCTACTCTGATGCATTCTCCATCCTCTGTCTCACCTTCAGTCCATTAGCTCCCTAGTAGTAGCCCGAAGTCTCGACCAAGGCGTGATTACGCTGTATCTGTGGGGCATCAGGCGGTTTAAAAGGAGCACAGGGGCTGGGGTGACCTTGTAGAATAGCAGGTTAAGCCACCACCTGCAATGCCAGCATCCCATATGGGCAGTGGTTAGCATGCTAGCTGCTTCACTTCCAATCCAGCTCCCTGCTAATGGCCTGGGAGAAGCAGTGCAAGGTGGCCCAGGTGCTTGGACCCCTGCTACCCACATGGGAGACTTGAAAGAAGCTCTTGGCTTCAGCCCTGACCATTACGGGCATCAGATTGTTACTTCCCTGTCTCTGTCTCTCTGTCTTGTACTTTCAAATAAATAAATAAATCTTAAAAAAAAAAAAAAAAGGAGTACAAACATGAAATAGTAAGGAAACTTCAGAACCAAGAAAGTTCTGCGGTGACTTCCAAGGAAGGCAACTAATTCTGAATCTCGAGAGAACTGTGAAAGTGTTACAATGTGTCCCAGCTCTTCTTGAAACTCCCTTGCTCATTTTGGTCTCACACTAACTGGTTAAAAGCTTGAATTCTCCTTGTCCCTTGCCTTTTGATGCCCCAACACTAGGAACACAATTCCTTTTTTTTTTTTTAAGATTTATTTTATTTATTTGAAAGAGTTACAGAGAGAGGTAGAGACAGAGAGGTCTTCCATCCACTGGTTCACTCCCCAGATGGCCACAACGGCTGGAGCTGCGCTAATCCGGAGCCAGGAGTCTCTTCTGGGTCTCCCACGTGGGTGCAGGGGCCCAAGAACTTGGGCCATCTTCTACTGCTTTCCCAGGCCACAGCAGAGAGCTGGATCAGAAGAGGAGCAGCTGGGACTAGAACTGGCACCCATATTGGATGCCGGCGCTTCAGGCCAGGGCGTTAACCCGCTGCGCCACAGCGCCGTGCCCAGAACACAATTTCCATCCTGTGGCGTCAAGGCTGCTTTGCACGTGCAACAGGCAAACATCTCAGCGAAGTTTCTGGGCACGTGTTTCTCGCAGTCCACATCTCTTGTCCTACGTTTATCCATGTATGTAGCTTGTCTATGAGGAAGCAGAGCTGTCTAGGACAGCCAAGCACCATGTAATGCTCTGCTCAGTCATGGAGCATACCTAGTCATAACCTAGCTTTATGGAGCATAACCTAGCACAAGTCTGGCTATCGGGAAAAAATGTCTAAGACATCCTAAAAGAAAAAAAATTTGGAGAGACAGAGCAAATGTCAGAAGCAGACAGGGATATTGGACTTGTCAGGCTGAGAATTTAAAACAGTTGAGATCAAGATGCTAGGAGCTCTAATGTATAAAGCAGATAGAACACATGGGCAATGGGAGCAGAGGAATGGACACTTTACGAAAGAACCAAAAGAAACACCAGAGAACAGAAGCACTATAACAGAAATGAAAAATGCCTTTGATGGGCTAAGGAGTCGCCTAGACAGGTCGAAACAAAAATCTCTGAACTCAAGGACATCTCAGTTGAAGCTGCTGAAGCTGAAAAGCAGAGGGGAAAAAAGACTGGGGGAAAAAAAAAACAGACTAGAGCTTGGCACAGTGGTAGAATCATAGCCTGCGGAGCAGAGAGAGGCTCTTCAACAAATGGTGCTGGAATCACAGGCATCCACATGCCAGAAAACAGAAATCCAGACATACACCCTGCACCCCTCAAAGTGTTAACTCGGCAGGGCAGGCATTTGACTTAGGGGTTAGGACGCCTGCCTTCCACATCAGTGCCTGGGTTCAATTCCTGGGTTCAATTCTGACTCCAGCTTTCTGCCAGTGCAGACCTGAGACGCAATAATGCTAGAGTAGCTAACTGTGTTCCTGTCACCCACATGGGAGACCTGGATGGAGATCCCAGCTCCTAGCACAGCCCCAGATGTTGCAGGATTTTGGGGAATAAAACTTCAGATGGTGGAGCTCATTCTCCCCCATTCCTCCCTCCACCCCAAATAAAGAAATAAATAAATACTCAATGTATCACAGACCTAAATATAATGTAAAATGCAAAACTATAAAGCTTTTAGAAGATATCATAGAAGAAAAGCTGTATGACCTTGGGTTTGCCAATAGCACTATCCATTAAAGGAACAATTGATGAGGTGGACTTCTTTAAAATTTTGCTCTGCAAAAAAAAAATTGTCAAAAGAATGCAAAGACAAGGCACAGAGGATGAGAAAAGTATTTCAAAAGGCACATCAGTTGAAAAATTGTTCCACAAAAGCCAGTGCAGAGGCATAGTGGGTAAAGCTGCAGCCTGCAGAGCTGGAATCCCATATGGGTGCCAGTTTGAGTCCTGGCTGCTCCACTTCCGATCCAGCTCTCTGCTGTGGCCTGGGAAAGCAGTGGAAAATGGCCCAAGTGCTTGGGCCCTGCACCCGCATGGAAGACCCAGAGGAAGCTCCTGGCTCCTGGCTTCAGATCGGCATTAGCTCCAGCCGTTGCAGCCATCTGGGGAGTGAACCAGCGGATGGAAGACCTCTCTCTCTCTCTCTCTCTCTCTCTCTGCTTCTCTGTAACTCTGCCTTTCAAATAAATATTTTTTAAAAATACACAAAGAACTCTTAAAACTCAGTAAGAAAACAGATAATGAAGTCTTCTACATCTTCCATCTCCTCCCCACAAAAAAGAAAAACTAAGCTCATTAAAGATATCCTAAGTGAAAATATAAGCTACAAACTGAGAGGTGATGCTTGCAATGGATTTAACTGAGAAGTAACTAGAGATAAGAATAAAGAATTCCTACCAAGCAACATGAGAAAGAGCCTAATATCTAAATGACACAAATAGATATTTCCCAGAAAAGAAAGCACAAGTAGAATAAACACATAAAGAGGTGGTGTAGCCACAAGAAATCAGGGAAATACTATCAAGAATGCAAAATGATATCATTTTCAGCGACTTACTTGGCCAAATTCTGACAATGCAAAAGTTGGAGAGAATGGGGATCAATTGGAACGCATCTTTGTTGCTGATAAGACAGCAAATCACCACAACTATTTTGGATAGCTGCTTAGTGTTATTATTATCCTATAAATTTGAACATTTTGCATATTTCATGACCCATTAATTTCACTTTTCAGTGAGGGAGACACATACATGAGAAGACATTTTAGAAGTGTTTATCCTGGCACTGTTAGTACAAGCGTTAAATAACTGAAAACAATCCAAGGGCCTGTAAATAGGAGAATGAATAGATAAATTACAGTTTACCCAGCACTGCAAATACAGATGAACTCAGCTATATGCAACAGATATGAATATAAGAAAATAATATTGGGTTAATCCACCTGCAGCACTAGTTTGAGTCCTGGCTGCTCCACTGCCAACGCAGCTCTCTGCTGTGGCCTGGGAAAGCAGTGGAAGATGGCCCAAGTCCTTGGGCCCCTGCACCCGTGTGGGAGACCTGGATGAAGCTCCTGGCTCCTGACTTCAGATCAGCGCAGCTCCGGCCATTGCAGCCAACTGGAGAGTGACCCAGTGGATGGAAGACCTCTCTCTCTGTCTCTCCCTCTTGCTGTCTATAACTCTACCTATCAAATAAATCAATAAAAAAATCTTCTAAAAAAAAGAAATAAAAGAAAGGAATGTTGGGGCCAGCACTGTGGCATAGCAGGTAACGCCATCACCTGCAGCGCCAGCATCCCATATGGGCACTGATTTGAGTCCCAGTTGCTCCACTTCTGATCCAGCCCTCTGCTGTAGCCTGGGAAAGCAGTAGAAGATGACCCAAGTTCTTGGACCCCTGCAGCAATGTGGGAGACTCAGAGGAAGCTCCTAGCTCCTGGCTTCAGCCTGGCCCATTTCTGACCATTGTGGCCATTTGGGGAGTAAACCAGTGAATGGAAGACCTCTCTCTCTCTCTTTCTCTCTCTCTGCCTCTCTGTAATTCTGCCTTCCAAATAAATAAATAAATCTTTACAAAAAGAAAATAATGTTGCGGTAGGAAGTAAATTCTAGAAGAAAATGTATGCTACTAGAATGCTTTTTATAAAGATATTAGAGTACTTCAATAAGGTTGTGTAAAACATGAAATTAAAAGATATGTTTGCAGGGTGTGCTTTGGTCTGGCAGTTAAGATGTCTGCATCCTGTGTCAGATGTCCTGGGTTCAAGTCCCAGCTCTGCTCACAATTCCAGCTTCCTGCCAAGGCACACCCCGAGAGGCAGCAGGGCATGGTGGCTCAAGTAGTTGATGCCTGGATTGAGTTCCTGGCTCCCAACTTTGGCCTGGCCCAGTGCCAGCCATTGTGGGCATTTGGGGACTGGACCAGCAGATGGGAGCTTGCTCTTGCTCTCTCTCTCTCTCTCTCTCTCTCTCTCTCATTTATAAATAGATAAGTAATTTTTTTTGACAGGCAGAGTTAGACAATGAGAGAGAGACAGACAGAAAGGTCTTCCTTCTGTTGGTTCACCCCTCAAATGGCCGCTACAGTCGGCGCGCTGCGCCAATCCGAAGCCAGGAGCCAGGTGCTTCCTCCTGGTCTCCCATGAGGGTGCAGGGCCCAAGCACTTGGGCCATCCTCCACTGCACTCCTGGGCCACAGCAGAGAGCTGGACTGGAAGAGGAGCAACTGGGACAGAATCTGGCGGCCCAACCAGGACTTGGGTCCTGCACCCGCATGGGAGACCAGGAGAAGCACCTGGCTCCTGGCTTTGGATTGGCCCAGCGCGCCAGCCATAGCAGCCATTTGGGGGGTGAACCAATGGAAAAAGGAAGACCTTTCTCTCTGTCTCTCTCTCTCACTGTCTAACTCTGCCTGTCCAAAAAAAAAAAAAAAAAAAAAAAATATGAAGCAAGAGAGAAACTTGCATGCTGTAGTGGTTTTAATCATTTGAGGACTAAGATCCCAAAGCACACTTTTGGCAAATGACAAGAGGCCCTTCCATACGGAATACGTTTGAGTGCTTATTTACTGGTTACAGAGAGCATGAAATTTCACGTCCCTGAGAGGTAAACCCAGATGCGTAGCATTCTCCCCTCTTTTGCGAACAAGGGAACTTGGTTCGGGAGAAGACAGGGGTAACTGTTGTGCGTGTATTTAGCACGCACTTACCATGTAGACCGTCACTTCGCTGCAGGCATGGTGCCACAGACCCCAGGACAGAAACCAAGGGTGGAGCAGTAGCCAACGGCTTTGCACGTGCGTGCGGGAGAGTGGGGAGGAGGGGTGCAGGAGAGACGTAGGACAGCAAAACAGCTGTGCCACGTGACCTGTGTGGGACGATTAGGCTGACCGGCACCTGCCGGCTGCTCCATGGCAGCTCTCCAGTGGGGTCTCATCCCTTTACTTCCCTAGGTTTGGCTTTCACTGGACGGCGGCAACACTTTCAAGTTGATAGCTGACTTCCATGGTGACATCATAACGAAGACGTATCACAGTTTTTATACTTCTGATATCACTTTTGTCTCCCAGAGCGGAAAGGTGTACTTGACAAAGGCAGGTGAGGAAGTTGCTGTTGTTGGTGTGAGCCCTATGTGAGGGCCAGGGATTAGAAGATAAAAGAAAAACGTGCTTTATTAATCCAGTCCTGAATTCTCAACCCTGTGAGGGGCAGGGGTATAGGATCTACAGAAGGTGGATCCCATGAACAGCCCTAAAGAAAGGGACCCTTGGGTTGCAGAGGCAGAGTGAGAGAGAGAGACAGAGAGAAAAGTCTTCCTTGTTCACCCCCCAATGGCCGCTGCGGCTGGCATGCTGCAGCTGGCGCACCGCACTGATCCGAAGGCAGGAGCCAGGTGCTTCTCCTGGTCTCCCATGGGGTGCAGGGCCCAAGCACTTGGGCCATCCTCCACTGCACTCCCGGGCCACAGCAGAGAGCTGGAGTGGAAGAGGAGCAACCAGGACAGAATCTGGTGCCCCAACCAGGACTAGAACCCCGGGTGCTGGCGCCGCAGGCAGAGGATTAGCCTAGTGAGCTGCGGCGCCAGCCAGGCTGTGTTCTCTTTTATGATTTCAGCGATACCTACTTGCTCAAAAGTGAAATAATAATAACTGCCACTTACCGAGTGTGCTGAGCATGGTACAAGTATCACCCCGGCCCCCTTGAAGAAGCTGGTGACCCTGGCTTACTTTTGCTAATGCAGTTGATCCAACTGAGGTTGCACAGCTAATAAAAGGGGGCATTGCTCTCCATCACCTCGATTAGGTGACCTTGCTGTGTCACAGGTCAGGTCCCGGTGGCTCCTGTCAGTCTGTCTGCCCAATGGAAGAAACAGTTAATAATGATGGGCCTTGTTGACAGCTTTGATCACGAGGCCAACAAACGCTGACGTGATTTCCCTGCCTGTAGACGCACTGTTTGGTGCACACTGTACAGCCACTTTGCATGAGAACTCAGTACAATTGTTCATCCACCTCTGGGTTCTCCCTCTCTTGGATTCTGTAAAATACTTTGTGGTTCTACAATACAGTGTGGAATTGTGGTCATTCCCCCAGCGACGTTGGCTTTATTGAGAATATTGGTGCTTTGCTTTCTACTCCTGCTGCACGCACAGCAACCTTGTTGCAAGGACAAGTTACAATGCAGTATTTTTTAGGCATTTAAGCATCAGTGAAACTCAACAAGTGTTGTACTAATGATTCAGGAAACTCAGAGTGATGAAGGTCCAAGCCTTTGAAGCAAAGTCGATGCAAGTGCAGGCAATCAACCACTGTGGTGTGAGTGCCACCTGGTGGACAAAAGTTGTAAGATACACCAATTATCAGACGTCTCAATTTCCAAAAGATGTCAAATGGGAAAAGTGTATCTTGTTTATCAATGAAATATCACCTATTGAACCTTAGCAGTTATATCAGAAAATTTTACTATTGAAAATATGACTGAACAATAAGAAACCTGACTACATGTTTATGAGGAAACAACAATGAATGTTGATACCAGAAACAAAATGTGACAGTGTCTCAGAACCTCCTGATAAAGTAATCCAGAAAGATTATTTTTTTAAAAGATCTATTTATTTATTTGAGAGGCAGAGTTACAGATAGGTGAGAAACAGGAAAGTCTTCCATCCACTGGGTCACTCCCCAAGTGGGTGCAGTGGCTGCGGCTGAGCTGATCGGAAGTCAAGAGCCAGGGCTTCTGGGTCTCCCACGCAGGTGCACAGGCCCCAGCACCTGGGCCGTCTTCCACTGCTTTTCCAGGCCATACCAGAGAGCGGGATCAGAAGAGGAGCAGCCAGGACATGAACCCCATACGGGATCCTGGCGCTGTAGGCGGAGGCTTAGCCTAGTATGCCACAGCTCCAGCCCCTCAAGAAAGATTCTTTAAAAAGATTAGGGATGGAATAAGATCTTGAGTCCAAAAAATTCCAAGCTTTTCCATCCTAAAATGTAGTCCAAAATACCCTTTCCTCACAGGAATGGAAATGCGCATGATACAGGAGCTTTGTGAAATCCTTCACTGTGATCATCCATCCCACTGATGTTCTTAAAGTATGTTTACAATGCAAATTATTTTTAAAAACCAAAAGAAAATGAAATAACTAGTACAAGATAGAAAAAAAAAGGGGAGGAAGAAAAACAGAAATTGTAAGAACCATGAACTAAAATAACCAGAAGTAGAGCCAGTATGCAGTCAGCATCAATGTAGGGAGTCACCTGTGCCAGGAGTCACCTGTGCTGGGAGTCACCTGTGGAGTCACCTGTGGAGTCACCTGGGCCAGCCAGGGAGTCGCCTGTGCGGGGAGTCACCTGTGCCGGGAGTCACCTGTGCAGGGAGTCACCTGTGCTGGGAGTCACCTGTGCTGGGAGTCACCTGTGCAGGGAGTCACCTGTGCAGGTAGTCACCTGTGCAGGGAGTCACCTGTGGAGTCACCTGTGCAGGGAGTCACCTGTGCTGGGAGTCACCTGTGCAGGGAGTCACCTGTGCTGGGAGTCACCTGTGCTGGGAGTCACCTGTGCAGGGAGTCGCCTGTGCAGGTAGTCACCTGTGCTGGGAGTCACCTGTGCTGAGAGTCACCTGTGCTGGGAGTCACCTGTGCAGGGAGTCACCTGTGCAGGGAGTCGCCTGTGCAGGGAGTCACCTGTGCTGGGAGTCACCTGTGCAGGGAGTCGCCTGTGCAGGTAGTCACCTGTGCTGGGAGTCACCTGTGCAGGGAGGTCACCTGTGCAGGGAGTCACCCTGTGCAAGGGAGTCGCCTTGTGCAGGGAGTTAACTGTTGTTGGGAGTCACCTGTGCAGGGGAGTCGCCTGTGCAGGTAGTCACCTGTGCTGGAGTTCACCTGTGCTGGGAGTCACCTGTGCGGGGAGTCACCTGTGCAGGGAGTCGCCTGTGCGGGGAGTCGCCTGTGCAGGGAGTCACCTGTGCAGGGAGTCACCTGTGCAGGGAGTCGCCTGTGCAGGTAGTCACCTGTGCTGGGAGTCACCTGTGCTGAGAGTCACCTGTGCTGGGAGTCACCTGTACGGGGAGTCACCTGTGCAGGGAGTCGCCTGTGCAGGGAGTCACCTGTGCTGGGAGTCACCTGTGCAGGTAGTCACCTGTGCTGGGAGTCACCTGTGCAGGGAGTCACCTGTGCAGGTAGTCACCTGTGCTGGGAGTCACCTGTGCTGAGAGTCACCTGTGCTGGGAGTCACCTGTACAGGGAGTCACCTGTGCAGGGAGTCGCCTGTGCAGGGAGTCACCTGTGCTGGGAGTCACCTGTGCTGGGAGTCGCCTGTGCAGGGAGTCACCTGTGCCAGGAGTCGCCTGGGCCAGGAGTCACCTGTGCAGGGAGTCACCTGTGC